GCCCGCGCTGGGTTTGAGCCACGTTTCTCTCCCCGCCCTGCAGCTGATCCAGGCATGCGCCATGCAACAGCTCCCCGTCTCCTACCAGACGTTCCCCCCCCTCATCTCCAGCGACCATTACATCCTGCACCCGCCCCCGCCGCCAGTGCCCCCCCACCAGCCGCCCCACATGGCGCCCCTGGGGCAGTTCGTACCTCTCCAAGCCCAGCACCCGCGCATGGTGAGTCGGGGCAGGGGCTGGGGGGGGGTCCCGAGACAGGGGCTGCTGTGGGGTCTCCTCCCTGCACCCCCCGCGGGTGTGAGCTGGGAGGGATGAAGTTTGATGGATGAAGTTTGTCCCCCCCCACCTTTCTCCCACCCTAACCGTTTCCCCCCCCAGCCTCTGCAGAGGATAGACAATGACGTGGACCTGCGAGGGGAGCAGCACCCCATCGCCGGCTTCACGTACCCCCCCTCCCACCACACCCCCACGCTCTCCCCCTCCGTGCCGCTGCATTACCTCCCCCACGACCCGCTGCACCAAGAGCTGCCCTTCGGCGTGGTAAGTCCTGGCTGGGAGAGGGGGGACGCGGTGGGGTTGAAGGGGGGGGGCCGTGCTGCATGGCCCTGAGCTCCCCCCCCACCTTTCTCCCCGCAGCCATACCCCCACATGATGCCCCGGCGGCTGAACACCCAGCGGTACCGGCTGCAGCAGGCGCTGCCCCCCCCGCCGCCCCCTCCGCCGCCCCCCCCGTACTACCCGGGCTTCCTGCCCTATTTCCTGTGAGTACCGGGGGGCCGTGGGGCGTGTGGGGCTGGGCTGATTCGGTGTCTTTGCCCCTCCCCGTGACACCAGGGCGGAGGTTGGGGCTTGCAGCGACCGCCCTGTCCTCCCCCCCCCCCAGCTCCATGCTTCCCGTGTCGCCGACGGCCGTGGGGCCCACGATCAGCCTGGACCTGGACGTGGATGACGTGGAGATGGAGAACTACGAGGTGTGTTATCCCCTGCTCCCCCCCCCGCGGGGTGACCCCGGAGCTTTTTGGGGTGGCTCCTGTCAGGGGCTGAGCCGTGCGCCCTCTCGCCCCGCAGGCGTTACTGAACCTGGCCGAGCGGCTGGGGGAGGCCAAGCCGCGGGGACTCACCAAAGCAGACATCGAGCACCTCCCGTCCTACCGCTTCAACCCCGAGAGCCACCAGTCCGAGCAGACCCTGTGAGCGAGCCTGGGGGAACCGGGGGGGTCGGGGTCTCATGGGGGGGGGTGGAAGCGGGGCCTGGCTCTGACTCCTGCCTCCTCTCCCCCAGGTGCGTCGTGTGCTTCAGCGACTTCGAGGCCCGGCAGCTTCTCCGCGTCCTGCCCTGCAACCACGAGTTCCACGCCAAGTGTGTCGACAAATGGTTAAAGGTACCTGCCGGGGGGGCCGTGCAGCGCCTGAGCACCGGGTGCCGCCAGCCCCCTGCTCACCCCCGTCCTCTCTCCTTGCCCTCGCAGGCGAACCGCACGTGCCCCATCTGCCGGGCAGGACGCGTCGGAGGTGCAGCGGGAGGCGGACTGAGGCCGGCGGGCGCTGTGCCGCACAATTCGCTAGAGGACGAGGACGTCGGGCCAGGGGCGGGGGCCGCTGCCCGCTGCCAGGGCCTGACCGTGCGCTTACCCCCCCTCCCCAAAGCCTCTCCTCGGATGTGGTGAGCATTGAGCAGCCCGGGCTCCCGGCCAGCCCTCCTCCTCCGCCGGGGCTCGGACTCGGCCTGCCCGCCGCGCTCCCGGGGCCCCGAATCGTGTCGTGCCGGTGGCGGGCGGCGCGTGGCCGCGCCCTGCGCACTCCAAAGACGCTGTCGTTGCTCCATCACTTTCCAGGTCTTCGTACTCTGCTAGAGAACTTTTTTTTTTTTTTTTTTTTACTTTTCCGTTTTTCACTTTTTTTTTTTTTTTTTTTTAGATTTTTTTTTTTTTCACCCTTCCGTTTCCTTTCCTTTTCCGTTGCGTTTTTGGTTTCGTGGCCGGTCAACCCGGCAGCACGCGGCTCCTCCCCTCGGCGTCGCTCGCGGAGGACGCGGGGAGGAGAAGAGGAGGGGAGGCAGCGCCGCGGCTCCGGTACCGGTGGCCCCCCCGGGGGGTCCAGCCGGAGGAACCGGCGCGGCCGTGGCGGGACACCAGCAACCCAGGGCGATGCCGGGGCACCAGCGCCTGCGCTCCTGCGTCCCCTGGGGCGCCCAGGAGGGCAGCGCCGGCTGCTCGGTGTCCTTCCCAGGTGGGAGGACGGTGCTGGTGCGGCCCCAGCCCCTCTCCCCGTTCGTTCCCTCCTGGGGCCCGGCGAGGCAGCCAAGCCCAGCGGGGAGCCCCGTGGCCATGTGGCAGCCCCCCTATTTTTGCCTCCTGGCCCCCGCCCGTGGGTTCCCGCTGTCGTAAACCTGAAGGAGCCCTGAGCGCCCCCGTGCTGCTGGCGGGGCCGGTGGAGGGGGGGGGTTATCCAGGACCTCGCGGCGTGGTTTCCCCTCGGGACCGCGGTGCTGCCCCCGGTCCCTCGCCGCGGGGACGCCAGTGCACGGGGCTGGGGCAGCGGGTGCCAGCTGTCAGGGTGGCATGGCCGAAGTCGTTTTGCATGATTAATTAGCGAGGAGGAGGAGGAGGAGGAGGGGGGAGGTGACGGGATTGGGGAGGAGAGGAGCGCCCTTCCCCGCGTCGCCGACGCCTGGGAGCCTCCGTGCGCGGCCGCCAGCCCTATGTAAATGTTCACAAATATGCATGCATGTCTGACCAGCTTGGAACGTGGTCTTGGCTACTACGTCTAGCCGGCTGTGGGGTGAGGGGGGTGGGGAGAGGGGTTTTTGTGCTCAGCTGATACTGCCATGCACTGTACTGCACATGTCCGCAACGCCGCAGCAGGACCGTGAGGCTTTTCAGGGCCGTTCCCCGCGGGGCCTGCGCCCCTTTCCGGGTGGCGGCGGTGGCAGCGGCCGGGGGTGGCGGCGGCGTGTGCAAGGGGGCCGCTCCCCGCGGGGCGGGGGGCAGGCGGTGGCGGCGGGGCTGGGCCCCGGGGGTGGTGACGGTGGCGGTGGCGGCGGGCGAGGTGTGAGGAGAGGGAACCGCGCCCAGCAGGTGGCTGGGCGGGACGCAGCCGCCCGGCTCCCCTCCGCCTGCCTCTCCTCGACGCCTCACCGGGCTTCTTGGTGAAGGGGGGGGCTCCGCCACCGGCTCCGCCACGCCGCGGGTGCCGGCACCGCTGGGCTCGGTGCCCCCTGGGCAGGACCCCGGCCCCCTCCCCGTGCCCCTCGCTCAGTGACAGATAACCAAAGGAGTCCCCGTGCCGCGCGGCGGCCTCGCGCCCCGGAGACGCCCCCCACCCCCCCTGCAACCCCCCCACCCCCCAAAAAAAAAACAAACCTCCCCTCCCGCCCTCGCGGTGCCCAGGGAGCCAGGAAAGCCTTACGGTCCTTTGACGGCGACTCGAAAGCTCACAGCTCGTGTGCTGCAGAATTTATTCCGATGAGCAGCTAAAAGTATCATTTAAAAAAAAAAGACAAAAAAAAAAAGACAAAAAAAAAATCCATACTTAAAAAAAAATTAAAAAACAATTATTTAGGGTGTTTGTGATTGCTGACTGCGCTGTAGATACCACTGTTTACCAATGATTTCCTGTGGTGGGATAGTGGACTGTTTACTGTTCTATTATACCAGTCCCCGGGCCCTCCAGCGGGAGCGCCGCGGCTCCCCGGAAGGTGCTAGGACGTGTGTTCTGTGTTAGAAAGTTTTTATATATATATATATATATATATAAATATATATATATAATTTTTTTTGCTCTGTTACTTGCACATTTTACAGTTACCTCATTTTTCCCATGTATGTATTTGAAAAAAGGCTAATATATAGAAAAAAAAAGGTTCTTAAAGCTCTAAAAGTGTTTGTTTTTTTTCCATTCCATTGGAATCATATTGGTTTTGTAGCATTTAACATAACTAGTATGTTGTATTATATATATGTGTATTATACTGATTGAAATTTTTAACAGATTTGTACTTTTTTTAAAATGAAAGTTGCTAGTTCTGCTTGACCAAGTAGTGCAATCATTATTTTTTTTAATGTTGTGGCTGATTTTGAGAGGGATATTCACTAATAAATGTATGATGTATACCACGGCGCTGTGCCCCGGCTCTTGTCTCGGTGCGGGCCGGGGGGCGGCGGTGGCCCCAGCGTCCCCTGTCCCCAGCTCAGGGGGGCCGGCAGGGCTGGGGGAGAGGGACGGGAGCTCTGGCACCACAGGGCTGCTGCTCCCAAAGGCTTTGGGGCCAGAAAGGGAACAGCTTTTGCTCTGGGAGTAAGATGGGGTCTCTCCCTGATGACAAGGGCGTGCAGGGTGCTGGAGGCACCGGTGGAGGGGAAGGGGCTGCCTTAGGACAGCTTGCACCCTTTACGTATAGAATATCCCACTTTGGAAGGGACCCACAAGGATCATCAGGTCCAACCCTTCAGAAACATGAGCAGGACAGGGTGAAGGGGCCTCTTCTCCCCTCTGTGTTTCATGCAGGTGTTTACACAGATGTGGGTGCTGTACTTAAGCAAAAAAACCCACAGCCACCTGCCCCCTGAGGGGACAGGAGGTAGGGAAGGAAGAGGCTCCTGCCAGTTCCCCCTTCCCAGCTCCCCTGACAGAAAACTCAGGGATCAGGAACTTACACCCACCCTCCACACCACATCCTAGCTGTCTTTTCACCCCATCTACCTCGCTCCAGGAGGGTCGGCCCTGAGCAGAGGATGGGAGCTCTCCCACCCCACACTCATGCCCACCACAGGTAGGGCAGCAGCAATCCCAGCCCTGCTGTACACACTGGGTGTATTACTCCAGCAGCTCAGCTGTCACAAAATAACACAGAGCTGGCCTCAGAGCAGGCCAGAGGTTGAGCAAATCCCCCATGAGCAGCAGCCAGAGACCCCCAGCAACTGGAACCCCCTCCCCAGTGCTGAGTTCCAGCTGGGCAGCACGCTGTGTGTGGCACGAGCAGGAAGCAGGGGCACAGACATGCTAGAGGCAGAGTTTATTACACTATGCAGGCTAAGAACCCTGGGCAAGATCCCACACGGGTAAGAATCGAACCAGCTCTTTATCAAAAAGTTAATACTAGAGTCAACCCCCTTCTCCTTTGGTCATTACAAAGCAAGAGAAATATTAAAAGAAAAGTATTTATACACAGAGGGAAGCTGAAGAGGTTCTGTCCAGCCCTTTCCCCCACCCCACTCCCAGCACGTTCAGGTGCCTGGTCTTCTGGCTGTCAGGAGCAGCAGAGGATCAAATCTTCACGAGATGTCAGGTTGTTGGGGTTTTATTATTATTCTTGTCAATAAAAGCAATAATTACCGAGAGCTGCCATTCCTGTTCTTCCCCAGGGAGGGCGGAGGGGCGACACCCGCTCCCCTCCCTCTCTGCCCTCCAAGTGTAGGGGATGGCTGTGTACAGGGGTGTGTGAGGACGTGCACACACTTCCTCTTGCCAGCGCGCGCCCACGGCACAGCTGGCACAGGCGATGTGGTCTCTGATCCCTTGTTTGTACGCAGTCTTTTTTAAAAAAAATATCGTATTATAATAATAATATGAATTTCTCTTCCAATCTCTGGCTTCTGGAAAAGTGTCAATCGTCCGTGAGGTCCTGCACAAAGAGGACTTCCGTGTGGCTGAGTCCGGCCTCCTGCAGCGTGGGTGGGTTGGGCCACTCCTCTGTCGGGAGGCAGGGCAGGACGCGGCGAGGGAAGTTGGCTTCGATCTGGAACTTCTCCGGGCTTTCTTTCAGGGAGAACAGGAAGTCGTGGATCACCTGGGGAAGAAGCACAGAAATAGCTGCCAGCCCGGGGAGCGATGACACAGCCAGGCTGCACCCGTGGTATTACACAGGGGAGGGGTTAAAGCAACAGATTTGCACCATCACTGCGTTGTGGGCAATACAGGCATTTTATTAGTGTGCACGAAGCTGGACTTGTCACGGAACACCTGGGGAGTACCGCTTCTGGCTCTTCCCCTGTTTAACAGGCAGTGACAATAACCTCAGCTTTTCAGGAGAAGAGCATCTGTTTTTTCTTGCAATCCTTCTCTTCTGAAGTGAAGAGACCAGGTCCAAGGACACCCCTCCTCACCCAGGAAGGATTCTGCCTGCTAAGGCTCTAGGTAAAGGTCATCACATGGCAAAGGCCAACGCAACCAAAGCTCTGGTGAGCCACTTGTAGAGTTTCCCAACCCTCTTCTACTCCGGGAAGCCCGTCAGCTCTGCCCCAAGCTCACCGTCAATGACTGTGTGAAGTGGAATCGCCGCTCCACTCTGGAATCGTTAGGCAGCTTGAAAATTATCTTAACACTCTCTGGGTCATCGGGATGTGGCTCAGGAGGAAGGCATTCGGACTTCCGCTCCTTCTCCTCCTGCAGCGTCTGCAACGTAAAGAGGGAGCAGGAGCAATGGGTGTGCACCGGGCTGCCCTCGCAGCACGGTTGGAGGCCGTGCAAGCCCCAAGCAGGACAAGCAACTCCAGTCCGACAGGAAAACCCTACTACAGGCACTGCTCCTACACACCGTGAGCATCCAGGAGAGCACAACAGCCTCTCTAGCACTCAGTTTGCTCTCACCTGCCGCCGTCTCTCCTCTGCTAGCTTTTGCTGCTGTACTTCCTCCTCCTTCTTCTTCTTCCTCTCCCGTTCCTCCTTCTTCTTGCGCTCCTTTTCCTGGTCTGCACGTAAGGATGCCAGATACGCCTCGTCCTGCTGCTGCCTCAGGACTTGGGTTTGGTTTCTCTCTTCCCTATAAATGTGAACAGAGAGTGGTCAGGGCTGGGAGGCCCCTGTAAGCAGGGCAGGCTGAGGGCACACCTGAGGGTGCAGGTACAGCACACGCAGCAGGGAATGCCTCATTTAGAGCACAGACTACCACACGCTCACAGAAGGTGAGCTGAGTCCCTACAGCCCCTACCACACAAACTGTTTCCCTAGGTTGGGTGGCAGAGAACTTTAAGGTTTGCTCCAGCAGGCAGTCGAGCAGCCAGCTCGTACCTCTCCAGACGTTCAGACACCAGGTAGGTCTGGTTGGCATCCATGATGAATATCAGTTGATTAATGAGGTCATCAGCCTGGATGAGGCCCTCTAGCCGCCCAACGACCGTCATCCTGCGATCTTTCAGCATGATCACAGCCAGGAAGGGGTACGTGTTCTCTCGCAGAGCCTGGGAGACTAGAAGAGAGGCACAACCATCATCCCTTCCAGAAGGATCAACAAGGGTTACAGCATGGATACTTTCATCACCAAGGGCCTAGGAAAGCAGCTTCCACAGCCACCATCTCATCCACAGCAGAAAAGGCCTCTATATTATCAAGTGAAACCTAAGTTAGAGCAAGGAGAGGTGACCTGGAGCATAGACACAGAGTGGATAAAAAGCTTTCAAGTACCTAAAAAGGCTCTTGAATGTGAGCAGAAGGAAATAAATTGCTTCAAATGTCCATTCAGAATGGGGCAAGCAGCCCTGGCTTTAAACTGCAGAAACACAGGTTAAACACCTGCTACTATTAAGGATGGCCAGACTCTGGAAGGTACTGTCATGGGGAAAGGGTCCATCCGGATCCAATTTTCTTCTGAAATGCTCATTTCTGCCAGAGGCAGACTGTTTTGAGGCAGGGAATGGAGCAGGTCAGGGGCTTTTAAGTGCACGGTTTTCATCTACGACTAATGGCATGCAAACCCTGCCTACAGCTGACCACCACCCCCTCAAAGCACTGCCCAGCACGTCGCACAACAGAACCATCATTACTGACAGAGCCTTCCGAACTGAACCTGAGCACCCCATGGACTAAATGAGGCCCCGATCCCTCCCACCCCTTTTTTCTAGGCTGTATCTCTACCATAACTGTAAGTATTACAGCAATGAGACAGCATTAGGTAGAAGCATGCTGGCTTAACAAGCCATTCTCTCAAGGTGTTGGTAGCAGAACTATGAAGAAAGGAATGATCCAAATTTCAGAGCACAACTCCCAGGTCTCTTGTCATGAACCAGGAGAGGTCAGAAAAAGCACAGGACACATGAACAGAACTTTAGGAAAAGGCTCCATTTGGAGCAAATCCCTACCATGCACGCTGCCGTGCCAGGTATCAGCAGCCCTGGAAAGAGAGTACTTAAGAAGACCTCAGTGGGGACTTCTGAGGAGACAGAGAGACTGGGCGTGGAGTAAAGATGATTGTCTCACAAAGGGAAAGAATGCACCTCGCAAGTCACTCCTGGCCCCAGGCAGAATGCGAAGCAGTGTTAAGAGCCCTGCTAGTTAGATCCTTGTTTCTGCACTCTGTTTAATCCTCAGCACACACCCACCAGCTCCCATTAACAAGCCACTGAAAGCAGCCTGAATGCCCACAGCAAAGAAGGCGCAACCAGGACTGCCCAGAAACATGTGGAACAGTTGAGGTTTAGGAGCAGAAGGTATTCCCCAGCTCCAAGCAGGCCCTCTGAGACATCACACACAAACCATCGTGCATTTCCCCATGCAGTCTTGTGACCACCTCATCTGTTTGCACAGAAACCACCAGAACATTTGAAACATGAATTTGTCCGAGAGCATTTGGCTTGTTCCAGAACCTGAAGGGTATAAGGTAAAGTCCAGGAGGGACACACTCACCTCGGTATCCCTCTGGTTTGTTGGTTGAGCACGCCCAGAAGAGCATTCTAGTGTTTATGAGGGTGATCACCTCAGGTACGCACAGCGTATTGCTAGGGGAGGAGAAGAGATCACATCAGTGAACCTGCATGCACAGCCCAAGGACTGTGATTTGAAAGCTCTCCTACCTACCGGCAGAATTCGTCTGTGTCTTGGTGGTCATCTCCATGCAGGTACACCAACAGGAAGCGCAGCTCCCGCTTGGCATCAGTTCAGTGCCTTGGCATAAGAGCAGAGGAGGCACAGTTACAGGGGCTCTAGTCAGAGGGAAGGCAGCACCCACAAGACTTGCGTGAAACAGTTCAGGCAACATTCAGCTGGGCCGTTACTCTGCCACAAACTGGTTTTAAGGAAGCAGCAAATGGAGTGTGAGCCTACAGGACCTTGCAACCCAAGCCTTGTTTAAGAGGATCATGTTCTGCCCAACTCCTTTCAGGCTGTGGAGAGCACTGAGCTCAGAGCAGAGCCAGGCACACCCCCGTGTGAGCTGACCCCCCCAGACCTCCCCACCAGGCTCAGCTGGCAGCAAAGCCTCCTTGCCTTCATCCCTCGGACTCGCAGCAGGTAAGGCTGAGCTTTCCACTGCACCCTGTGCGGGATGCAACCTTCAGACCACATCAAATGGAAGTGCTACTAAAAAAAGGCCAGCTCAGTAATGCTGCAGGCCCCAACAAAACAAAAACAACCAAAATTTTCGTATCCTACAGGCTCTGGATTCCACCCACCCCAGAGCATTTAACAAGACCACACAGCAAGTGCAGAATGGGCTCTCTGTTTTACTGGCACTGAGCTTTGGTAAATAACCATGGAAGGGTTAGGCTAAGTCTGGATTCTAGGCAAGACAGAGGGGCCTGGAAGAGCTGTGGGGCAGCACGCTCCATCACCATGCAGCGTGGAGCAGATACAGGCTCCACATCCTCCTCTGGCACTCGGGAAGCAGAGCTGGTCCAGCTGCCTGCCGGGACACTCGGCAGGAGGCTCTCCTCCTGGCCAGCTTCAGAGAGGCTGCAGCAGAGACTCTGCCCAGGGAGAGGTCTCCTCAACAGAGAGCACCGGCAGCCCAGAGCTGGCATGTGCAGTTCTCACCTCACGTTCCTTCTTCCGTGGCTCCCTCTTTCAATTTTGAGGTCTCGCACCACGTTCGGGAGTTGCGTTATGATACACGAGCCTGGGCAGTCCATCCCGATTTGGGGAACAGAAGGACAGACTTTGGCTCACCACGTCAGTTTACAAAAACAAAGGCGGGATTACAAAGAATAGCTGCTGGCTACAGAGCCACACAGACGGTCGAGGAACAGTCAGAGCAGCTTTGCTTTCCAACTTTGCAGACTTGGCGTGTCATCAAGCCTGGCAGACACTGGTTTTCTAATACACTCGCTCACTAGCTCTCCAACACCCTGCTACGGAGTTCGGAGACAAAAAACACCGGGCTGTGATGAAGAGAGGTTTTGCCACGTAGGCCCTGATACCAGCCAGCACCATCCCCACGCTTCATCTCCCCAGTACCTCGGCACCAAGGCGTGACACTGACCTGGCTGTAGGTTCCCTGGTAGAAGACAGGGTGTATCCTCCCATATTTTTCCTCAAACATATGGATAAAGGAAATAATGTCACCCACCGGGTCAGTGACCCGACTACGAGGATCAGGGCGTATAAAACGCAGAGCAAACCTAGGAAGGAAGGAAAGGACACTGCAATTCAGCTCGCTGACTTGCTGAAGAACAGGATTTTCTTTTCCACAGACAGTCACTGGCATTCATAAGAAGGAAAAACGTCACAGACGAGACCCTTGAACAGTTTGTAATTACATCCCAAATTGCCACCTGCTCCAAACTGATACTGCAACAGAAAAGCCCCTGTCAAAAGACTTTCAGGGAAGAAATAATATGGCAAAGGAAGAAGCCAAACCAACGCAGATGGCAGGACTGCTTGACAGTCGCTACCTTTCAGCATTCCCTTTTCCATCAATTCTACAAGGAGACAAGATGAACTGGCCCTTTAGGGCAGTAAAGGCAGGAGCAGCTACAGACACCAGAGGGAAAAAGGCAGCTGCATCGACAGTTTAAGCTCTGCCAAGTAATATCCTGGGATTGGGACAGGTTAACTTGGAGCCTGGCCCAACAGGACACAGTGTGTCACTGCCTTGTGTGTCCCCCTCGCATGGCACTCAAATTGTAAAGCTACGTGAAGTTCAAATTCCAATTAAATATTTCACTTACAAAGCCACAGAGCACTTGGTTTCTCTGCAGTAAGATTTATTTCTTGCCAAGCATTGTAGGAACTTTACAAAGCTACAGATAAAGCCAGTTGAGCAAACAAATGGGAAGAGAAATCTGTCAGACTCAAAGAGATTCAAGTGACAGAGGTACAGCCAGATCTAAGCTAGTGTGTGCCTTGATGCAATCAATACATGAGTCAGCACAAAATACTTACCTAAATATATCAAGTAATGTGTAGTAGGTAAATCGGAATGGAAGCATCATGAAGTAGTAACCCCATCCTAGCAGGCCCTGTAATTACAAACAAAGGATCAGAACAGTCTCCAACACAGGAACAGGCTTGCTAACGCAGCGTGTTCACCAGCATTAACACACACATTCGGGGAAGTAGCAGAGGCCCTACCCATCACAAAAAAAAAATCAGCAACATTTCACATCTTGGAGAAGTCAAATTGAATTAAGTGACTGACAGGGGTCATTTGGAATTCAACAGTGGCACTTCTGGAGACTGGCAGCAGTGATGAGTTCTGAAAGCAATTGGTTTTCTCTCCGCCTATTTTTTTTTTTTTTAACTGTAGGATTAATAACACCAAGTCTCAGAAGGACACATGCAAATTTGTTTGTGGAATATGAGCATAAGGAATTCAAGCTAATACACTTTATTTAGGGGGTGGGGGTCTAAAAAGAATGAAAGACCATCACTGCCACCACTCTGCCTCCATTCCCGCTGAACCAATCAGAAGCTTTACGAGGTCACAGGAAGATGTTCTGTGAAACAGAGAAAGTCTCATACTGCAAATTACACCACGGAGAAAATATCCGCAGTAATACTGAAGGCTGAAGGAACAGCTCTACGCTTTATTTTTAGATGACAAAAAAAAGCTTTTTAGAAAGGAGATAACAGCACACAAAGAAAACAACGCCTTTCCCTGCGTGCACACTGGTAACTCTGAACAACAAAGCAGCAAGGCAAAATCCACCAAAAGATAACTTGCCCTTGGCTGTGGCCTTGAGACAACATAGCTGTAGATCCTGTGGTCGGCTGTATTGACCTGCAACGGCCGAGATGGGGGTGGATTAAAGACACTTGGGACACCCTCCTGCTCGTTCAGTCGGTCCTGCACAGCTGCCTTTAACACAAGAAGGAGCAAAGGAACATTTCAGACATTCAAGGATAGCAGTTTTGTTAGTCTTTATTTTATTTTTTAAATTTTTTTTGGTACCTAACAATAGGCATTACTTATCCACAGACTCTGAACACTCCATAAGCATTACAAAGCTCATTAGGAACTGGAAACACCAGTGCTCGTTTCTACATGGAAAACGTCCATGGCAGCCTGCACATCGCACTGCAGGAAGGTGCAGTGCCAGGCAAGTGATTGTTTGCAGCTGTAAGAACTCTGCTGCGTATTTCCAAGCCAGCTCTCTAGCAGTATCAAGATACTCTCATAAAAAGTTACCAGGGCAAATTCGGGGGTTAACGGATGAGGTCTAACTGGGAGGAACCCCGCCCACACCACTTGGTTTAGCTCAGGTACTGGGGAAGCACCACAAGGGGTTTGAAGCAGTACCTCTATGTTCCAGTTGTGCTGCTCCAGCGTGTGGCGACATTGGTCCATGGACTCTATGCCGGTCAGGTCCTACGGAAGGAGAATAAAAGCAAATGAGCGCCAGGGGAGCACAGGATTTTTATTCATTTTACAATTCTGTGCTAGGCAAGAACACAGACACTGCAACACAGCAAAGAGCAGAGCTCTTAGAAAGAGGAGCCATCACTTCAGAAGAGAGCAACCTGAGCCAGCCCAAACCTGGGGACATTCAGGTGGCCTCAAGCATGCCTTAGCACGCTTCTCACTAGCCCATTGTCAGCAGCACACCCCGAGCTCCAGCTGCACTCAGCCTGCTCAGGAAGCTAACACAGAACCACCCCGAGTTCAGCTCTGGAAGGATATGCCAGGACGTGCCCTCAAACGTCACTTCAGAACATCCCCTTAAGAGCCAAGCACATTACTTCACTGGCTGCAAACACAAACAGAAACTAAAACCAAAACGAGCCAGGCACTAATGAAGGCAGCACGTTCCAGAGGCACACAATACCCTGCAGAACACAAGTCCTGCCCAACGCAAACAGAACCTCAAACAGAAAAGATAACCCAAACATGCTGTAGACCTCGAGGCTACCGGGCTCTCAAGTTGGTGTTTGAGAAGGCAGATTTGAAGGAAACTGCTCTTATTTTGAAGTTAAAAAGAGTAAAATTTTCTTGCCTTCCCATTTACTCAATTGGAAAAAAATTACACTTTCAGAAACAATTATTTAACCCAGATACAAGACAGAAGCAGCAGTGACAGGGCTCATTTAACCCTCATGAGCAGCGTAACAAGTTCAGGAAGCGCTCACCATATAATATCATTTAAATATGACAATTTCTCCAGCAAGGGCATTCTTGACAAGAACTCTGCAGGTCCCTAAGGCTCCATGTTCTCACCTGGTACATTTCTCTTGACACCCTTAGCCCACAACCACATCCCTGGCCAGCTGTGCACATGACCAAGGGCACAGGGACACCAGGGCAGGGAGCGGGGCTGCCACGTGCTGTGACAGTGAGGGCTGCATGAGCTGAGCCACACAAGAGCCGCGCCGGCTCCACGCACAGTTCTGTGCAGGACTTCAGATGTGAGCCTTGCAGGAACCCGACAAGGAGCAGGGAGTGCTGCTCCCTGTCATACAGCGTGGCCTCCCAGCGGGATGCGGCTTGTGACAACTGAACACAAAGCAGGAGCTTCACAAAGCCTCGCGTGCAGTTTCCATTACACCTTGTGCTCCAATCCATTGTTAGCATTCCCACTTCTGCTCGGCATTCTCCCAATTCCTTGCTTCATTTCAAGCCTCTGAGGCCACCCTGACAAGCTGACTGTTTAACACACTGCACTGGGATCTCCCTGGGGAGGACAGCGCACAGAGTCCTCCCTCTCCCCCACTCGGCCACTCCACGTGCAGCTTCCACCCAAGTCACCCCGGGTACAAGTGCCCTGCTCAGGGCCTGAGCTTCTGAGCACTTCTCGGCTATTTCCTCACCAAGCCCACCCACATCCCTACCTGCTCCCCATCTCCTGGGCGAGTCACACTGCTGTACGGAACCAGGCTGATCAAAGTGTTCCCAAGATTAACACCGTACATGCAGGCACCGAGAAGCCCTGCGGGTCAGTGCCTAGTGCTAGGAACTGATGGAAACACTCGTCCTGTCCTGCAAGGCCTGGCAGGGAGGCACTGCACACGAATTTCATTCAGAATGAAGCTCCGTGCACCTGGCTGTTGCTGCCAGAGCACTTCTGTTTGTAAGTCAGTTTCATTATTCAGGATTTTGGTTTAAATCTTTAAAAACACGCTTCACTTTGGCTTTTAACCTTAAAGCTCTTATAGAAGACACTTACCAGGCCTTTTAAAGGGACCCCTTGAGTAAATTCCAGGCGTCTTCTCTTGGACTCGACCATAGAGGCACGGTGTGTTTATTTTAAAGACTTGGGAGTCTCTGCCCACCGTTCCTTAACACCCCACCAATTCTGCTGCATTCACAAAACCTCAGCGATTCAGGAACTCCTTCACACCTGCCTCCAAGTGCCAGGAGCCCCACCGGGCACCATTAGCAGGATTTCCCAAAGGAACAGCCCCTCCTTTTTAAGTCACACAAAGCACAGCAGCAGCTTCAGGTCAGAAAGCAGCACCCCAATAACCACAGCTCACAGCAAGCGTTCCACGAGCACCGAATCAGGGCAGCTCCCACTGCTCCTGATCGATGGCACTGCACAAGGAAGCACAGCCGGGGGAGAATAAGAACCCCCGGGTAAAGGCAGCGGGCATTTGGCAGATCTTGGGGCCATTCCGCTATTCAGACACAGAAATGAGCGTGCATTCAGTGTCGGTAAGGTATCTGCACTGGGCCCTAACCAACAGGCCCGCTGCTAGCCTCTCATTAGCCCCCTCAGAGAGCTGACATCTTAGGCACAGTAACACAAAGATCCCTGTACATAAAACTGAAATTCATCCTATGGAACTAGTGCTCTCAAACATGAGCACTCAGAAGCGCAGGTCCAAGCCCAACAGTCAACGCCAACATCCAGACGACAAACCATCACGCACCACAGAAGCTCAGTGTTGCCTTGTCAAGCACCCCACAAAGCAGAAGGCTGCTCCAATACACACAAATAACTACACCCAGCAGCTTCAGCACCTCTCACCTTTGAGATGCTGCTCAGAAGGCTCAGATCTTCTTCCCCCTGTAGCAGTGAGACAATTCCACCCCTCAGCGAGTGGAGTACCCCAAGCGGACAAAGGTTGGGCGCTGCACTTACGAAACTGCTCCCTCGGAGCCGCTCCGATGGTGAAACAGCACGGGGCACAGCTCCACCGGGCTGCGACTGCGCTGCTCCGAGCGGCCCTCCCGCTGCCAGATTGCAGAGAGCTGCTTCCAGGGGTAAAGAACATCCGACTTGGAGCAGGAAAAAGCCTCTTTTTTTTTTTTTTTTAGAGATAGTTCCTCTCCGCCTGTCACAGTACATGCATTTACGAGGGCTCTGATGCACAGCAGAGTGGGACAGGTCTGGGGAGCGCCTTGTTTCCCCCCCTCCTCCCTGAACGAGGCATTTCCAGCCCTGAGCGCTTTGTTTTCCCCATTTAAATTAGAGATCCCATCACAATCGCTAACTTTTCCCTCACAAACAAGCCCACTACTCTAGATTAGCACGTTCCAAGTGCCCCAGCCCACGGGCCCAAGCTAACGGGCACGGGTCGATAAGGGCAGCCCGCAGGAGCTGCTGTGCTGTCCCCACCCCCAGCGGGGCTGCATCACGCAGCCCGCTCAAGCTGCTCACATCGAGCTCCCCTCCCTAGATGCAAAGAGCATCGAGCCCTGACAGATGAAGATTGAGGTACTTCTATTCGTTTATGTTAGCCGAGGCTTTGGCAGCAAATGGGAGGCTTAAAACCTGCCAAAGAGCATTGGTGCTTTTATTCCCCGTTTCCCCCCCATTCTCTCCCCACACAGGGATTTATTTATTTATTTTTTAAGCTCTAACCGATCACAGCGGGTGGCAAACAACCGGGCTACCCCGGCCCTATCTGCAAGAAGCCAGCTGCCACTCGCACCGGTATTTGGGGGAGGGCTATCAGGGCACATCAGGCGAGCATCCCCAGGCCGGAGGCACCATAGCCAGGCTGACACCAGCCAGCAGGCGCTCGCTGCCTCACCCTGGGAGCAGCATTTTGCAGCCCAAGCAGCCTCCCTGAGGGACAGAGGCATCCCCGAGCACAGCAGCTGCTCGCTGGGTGACTGACAGCCTGCAGCTTTCTCCATGCTCTCCATTTAGCTGCAACACCGGGGGCCTTCCTCATCTGCTGCCCCACTCCCTTCTCCCCTAATCCCCCTCCTACTTTATTTACACAGCACTGCTGTGCCTTCCGTGGCGCTGCAATGCTCCTCACCCCAGAATATCAGGCAAGTTACTCGCTACGATCACGCCTCACAAAGAAAAAGTGCAGCAGCACCAATGGTTTTCACAAGGCAGAGCCATCTTCTCCAAACAGCAGCTGCTATTTAATGGAACCCAGCTAAAGAAAATTAAAAAAAAAAAGCCTGTGTGACTCCAGGTGGGCGGATTTACCCTCCCTCATTTCAAAGAAGGGAGCAGACTGCACAGCTGAGCCCCTCTCAGCCAGGTGTGAAGGTAACAAAGGCAGCACCAGTGAGGTCAGCCCTGGGGAAAGCTGAGCCTCTACACACTAGGAGAGGGAATAACTGGTGTTAAAGCCTTCTGGACAACACCTTGCACATCAGGCTCTGGGCAGCAGCCATCTCCTACCCACAAGTGCTCTCCCCTTCAAGGCAGGGCCCACCAGGAGCTGGGATACAACAGGCTCCCTCCCCCGAGCCCCCAGCCGGCACTGTAGCAGGTAGCAGGAGGAAACACACGGGATTCTTTAGGTTCACAGCTGCCCACAGGGCTTTGAAAATAGCAACAGGGAAACTGAGGAGTGCAGCTGGCCCGATCTGTCCGGATCCTGTGGGTTAATAAGGGCTGTGACAGCTTGCAGCGAGAGCTGCAGGGCGGTTTGTGCACATACACGGGGCAAGGCAACAGCTTAAACATCATCCACTTACCAGGGAAGCAGTGATGCTGGGAAAGCAATCGTTAAAGCTGCTGCACCTCATCTGTCTGAGAATTAAGATCACCCAAGGAGCTTAATTTGCAGTAAAGGTTTAGAGGGGATCTCTTTAAGAGCTGACGGGATCTCCCAACACCAAGGCTACAGAGAAACACCGCCGCTGATGATTTCAGGGACTGCTCCAAGACAAAACGATGAGGAGCAGCTGCACCTCGCTCTGCCACGGGAGGCAGGGCTGGATGCCTCTCAAGACCCTTTAAACACTACAAACTAGAGGCACATGGCACAAAAAAAAAATCTGAAACGTGTCCTTAGAGATCAATACGAACCAACAAAAGCCAGGCAGAGCACTCAGGAAAGATGGTGCATTTAGGGAAGAAAACAACAGCCTGGGTAACACCACAAGTGGTAACGCCACACCTCACAATCCAGAGACAAAGCCAACTCACCTGCAGATAATTTTAATTGGCAACAGCTGAATTACTTCTCCACTGAGCACACCCGAGTGCTCCAACTCTGGGGCAGTCCCCTCCCCAGTAACCACGTGCGGGGTTAGTTTCTTTTGACCGATTCAAGCACTGCGCAGCCCCGAGACCCCGGCAAGCCAAAGGCCACGGGAGACAGCCCGCGTTGAGCAGAGACCGGAGCGTTCCAGCCCCGGGGGCCTACCCCAGCCGGCACCACCGCACTCAGACGGGCAGCGCCAATTCCTGGGAAGCTGCAGGCTCCTGGGGAGCCCCGGCGAACCCCGCACACCCCGGGCAGAGCCCGCAGCCCCCGGCGGGCAGCAGCACGGCCCGGCCCCAGCCTCCCTCCCCAAAATGGCCGGGGCGGGCCGCGGAGCCGGCAGGGGGTTACGGAGCAGCCTCCCCGAATAACGGGCACCGAGCCCAGCGCCGGCCCCTCAGCGAGCCCCGAGGGGCCCGCAGCGCCCGGAGCAGCCCCGCCAGGCCCCGGGGGGCGCCTCACGGCCGCCAGCACCGAGCGGCCCCGGCTCGGGCCAGGCCCGGCGCCCCCGCACCCGCTGCGGGCAGGGCCCGCCCGCCGCCCCCGGCCCGGTTGGGGTCCGATAGGGCCCGGTGATGGCGGCACGGCCGCGGGGTGCCCGGCTCGGCGCACCTGGAACTGCAGCAGCTTCTCGGTCTGCTCCGCCGTCAGCTCCCGCTCCTCAGGCGCCGCCATTTTGCTGCCGCCTCTGACCCGTCGCTCCGTCACCCGCCGGAAGTGACGTCGGCGGCGCTGCCTGCCTCTCTCCCCCCTCCCCTCTCCTCCGCGGCTCGCCAGCCGAACCGCTTCTTCGCCGGCCGCCGGAAATACACGAGCGCTCGCCGGAAATCGCCGAAGAGTCTCTGGAGCTTTCCGGAAAAACCCGAAGCTCATCCACCGCCTTCGCCGGCTCGGCTGCTCCTGATTGGCTCGCGAAGAGTTCCGACAGCCGTTCGGCTGTTTCCGGAGACGGCCGGCGGCTCCCGCAGGGCGGGGCGGGCTGCGGGCGGCCCCCAAGATGGCGGCGGCGGTGGGGGCCACACCCAAGATGGCGGCCGCCAGACGCCCTCAGCACCGGGACCTCCTCCCGGCGCCGCCTCACGCCTGAAGGGGGCTCGGAACCGCCCCGAGCCGCCGGCCGCCGGCCCCTCGAGCCCGCGGGGAGGCCGAGGCGGCTCCGCAGCGGCTCCGGCGGCGGCGGGGAGGGAAGGAGGGCGGGGGGGAGGTCCCGGCGCTGATGTCAGCGCGGCCGCCCCGCCCGCCGCCGCAGTGACAGCTCCGCCCGGGCCCGGCGGGGCCGAGCCGAAGGCAGCTGGGGCTGTGGCGGCGAGGGAGGGAAGGAGGGAAGGAGGAGAGGAGCCGGCCATGGCCGACGACTTCGGTTTTTTCTCCTCGTCCGAGGCTGGAGGCGCCGAGGAGGACCCGGCCGCCGCTTTCCTGGCGCAGCAGGAGAGCGAGATCGCGGGCATCGAGAACGACGAGGCCTTCGGGCCCGCCGACGGGGAGGGGGCCTCCGCCGGCCCCGGGCAGGCGGCCCCGCAGGAGCCCGGTGAGCGCCGCCGGGCCCCGGCACCCCCCGGCCGCAGGGCTCCGGGAGGGGGGGAGGGGGAATCCGGGGGGGGTTTGATCGGGGGGTTTGGGGATCCCGGGGGGGTTTGGGGGTCCCCGTGGGATTTTGTGGCCCCCACAGGGGTGAGGGGGGTCCCCGTGTGCCAGGCTGGAGGCCCGGGAGGTGTCTGTGGGGGGTGTGCTTGGTGCCAGGCTGGGGGCTCCTTCCCCTGAGCCCCGCGGTGTGGGGTGAGCCCTGAGCGGGGCACGGGGCACGGACTGAGTCAGACAATGCTCAGACAATAGATAAAGGTGCCAAGCCTCGCCTCGTGCCTCCGCATGGCCCCCAGCCCTAAAGGAAGGGCCTTCGGTAGGTAGCAGGAGCCCCCAGGTCTCCCACCCCCAACGAGGACATCGCTGCCATGATCCTCCTGCCCCTAACGCAGGCAGGCCCATGGGGTCCCCATTGCTGCCCGTGTTGCTGGTGGATTCTCCTTTCCGCCCACGGGGACCTGCAGAGCCACGGCCGGCCCAGAGAGGTGCTGCTACATGCAGGCAGCTGGGCTGGGTGTAGCTGGAGCTGCGGGGTGAGCACCATGGGGACGGTGCCGGCTCGAGGTGCTCCGGAGCCACGCTGCGTCTGAGCCTGGTCATGGCCAGGGGAAGAGCTCAGGGCTTGGGGGGGCTTCTTGCAAAGCCTCCTTGCCCGGCAGCAGGGAGCTGAGCACCCTGGGGCTCGCCTTGTGCAGCTCACGGGGCTGTGCATGAGCTGTGGGGGTCTGCAGTACCTCGCCTAACCCTAACTCTACAGCTCGCTCCCCCTGGATGGGCTCCTGGGGACCCAGATGTGCGTCCCTGCCCTCCTCCCCGCTGGTGGAGCGTGCTGTGTGTCTGTGTGTCTGTCTGTGTGTGTGGCAGCTGCTGCCTTTGGCAGACCTGGGGGCGGTCAGGTTGTCTGCGTGCAGGCAGAGCACTGCCTCCCACCCTGCTCCTGGGACAGTTTCCCTAACCTTCAGATAAGATTTAAAAAAAATAAAAAAACAGGCAGTGAAAACACCATAAACACACAAGATGCCCGGAATGGCTTGTCTTGGGAGGGAGGTGCTGGCTGGATCCCTCCAAGGACAGGAGCCCAGAGCTGCTGGCCCAGCGCCCTCCCACATATTCCCTACAGCTCAGGGGGGATTTGTAGGGTTCGGGGCTCTGACAGCAGCGTGGCAGTGCAGCACGCTGCCTCCTTCCCCTGCCTGCCCCGGGCAGGCTCTGGACCCTGCCACCTTGCTAAGCCCTAACGTGAGACCAGCGTGGGGTGTTCAGCTGGTGGCCCCCACGTGTGGGGCTGTGGGGATGGGTGTGTGGGGCTGCAAACAGCACGGCCCTATTCCCCAGGAGCCGACCTCTCACTGCTTCCTGAGCACCAGCCCTTCTGGGATCACCTGCAGCTGCCAGAGCTCTGCTCATCTTTCTCTTCCTTTTTTTTTTCTTCTAGCTGGTTTCCAGAACGGGGGAGCCACTGTCAACGGCGATGTTTTCCAGGTGAGACCCCAGCCCCTTGCCCTGGCCCCATGATGCTCAGGAGGGTGATGTGAGCGGGGGCACAGTGCTCTGCTGTTTTGGCTGGCCCCAGAACAGCTCCTGGCAGCCCGTGTCTGCCTCGTGGTGGGTTCCTGGTGCTCTGTTCTCACCCCTGCTTGAAGGAGAAGGGCTGGTTCCAGTGCCACAGCCCCTGAGGTTTGGAGTTAGAGGCTTTGAGACCGGCCGAACCATGCTGGTCCTCTTCTGGCTGTGTCCAGCCCTGCCCCGAACTTGTTGTAGGTGCTCTGAAGGAGTGCTTGGGCCCCAAGAGAAGATGGCACACAGTCCATTCCTCTCCCAAACCCTGCTGTTCCAGCCTGGTGATCTCCTGGAAGCTCCTGGGTTGTTTGAGAGCACCTGGCAGAGCCCAGCCCCAGCACAGGGCTGCCGTGGGGCACTCACCATGCTGGAGCATAGCTGTGGCCTGGCTGCTGAGCCCCGCATCATCTCCTCTCCCACCAAATCCCCTTCCTCGTGCCCAAGAGTGGGTCAGGGCACCCCCTGCCTGGGTCTCAGCTCCCGGGGAGCCCCAGGGCAGGCCGTGCAGGCATGCAGGAGCCGTGCCAGCACCCTACAGACCCTTCCTTCACCCCATTTGGTGCCCAGCAGCGCAGCACGGGCATCTCCCCTGCCTAATCCTAATCATATCAGCGACGGGACAGCCTTAATGAGATCGGGGATCTGGGAGGAGAGCCCTAATCCCGTGGCTGAGCCGTGTCAGGCTGGGTGTCCCAGCCAGCGGGAGGCTTTAGGAGAGGCGCAGAGCACAGAGCTGTGCCCTGAGCTGCCCCGGGGCTGAACACCAGCAGCGAGGAGCCCGGCCTCGTGCTGCCTGGGGGGAGAGCTGCTGCTGAGGGTGGGCTGCTCACCTCCTGCAGGAGTCCAACGGCCCCACGGACGCCTACGCGGCCATAGCCAAGGCTGACCGGCTGACCCAGGAGCCCGAGAGCATCCGCAAGTGGAGGGAGGAGCAGAAGAAGCGCCTGGAGGAGCTGGGTGAGAGCCGAGCCCCGTGCTGGGGGCACTGGGAGCTTGAGGTCCTTTCCCTGCTGCGCCCCAGGGGTGCCTCGTGCCAAAAATCAGCCCTCCTCGGAGGCGGTGATGCCTTCCCGTGGGTGATTTAGGGGGAAAGGGGACGGGGCAGGGGGCTGCCTGCCTGCCTGCCTGACGGGAGCTGTCGCACCCCGGCCCTAGATGCTGCCTCGAAGGTGACGGAGCAGGAGTGGCGCGAGAAGGCCAAGAAGGACCTGGAGGAGTGGAACCTGCGGCAGAACGAGCAGATGGAGAAGAACCGGGCAAACAACAGGTAGGCTGAGAGGCCGAGGCAGCCAGATCTGCCTTCCTGAGGGGCCGGGGGGGCTCTGTCACCACGCTGGGGCTCAGCCCTGCACAACCAGCACTTTGCCAGGCTCGGGGAGAGCCCCAAGGACACCGAGCAGCTGTGGTGGCCCTGCAGAGCCACAGCAGGATCCTAGGGCCTCCTGTCCACGCGTGGGGCTGGGGCTCAGCACAGCCCCGTGGGATTTTCGGCAGGGTTTCCTGGTGCCGTGGGAGGCCGCTAACCCCCTTTCTGTTTCTCTCTTTCTAACCCTCTGCCTGCCTGTCTGCTCCGCGCTCTCTCTCTGTCTGCGCCTCGGGGTAGGATCGCTGACAAAGCCTTTTACCAGCAGCCGGACGCCGATGTCATCGGCTATGTGTAGGTGCCTCCTGCAGGATCCGGGCTCCTGGCTTTTGGTTCTGCAGCCCCCAGTCAAGGGAAAGGGGTTTTGGGGAGGGTTGTCGGGCTCCAGCGAGGTCCCAGAGCATCTCCAAGGGCTGGAGGCGCAGGAGGAAAGCAGAGCTCTTGGGATTGCCCCTATGGGGCTGGCTGTGGGGTTTGGGGCCTTCTGGGGACAGCCCCACGGGTGGAGGGTGCTGAGCTCAGGGAACCGGGGCTGGGCTGGGTTCTCTGAGGGAGGGGAGGGTCTCTTGGGCAGGGGCTGTGCCGCTGACAGCCCTCAACATCTCCGCAGGGCCTCGGAGGAAGCGTTCCTGAAGGAGTCCAAGGAGGAAAGCCCGGGCTCCTGAGTGGGAGAAGGTGGCCCAGCTCTGCGACTTCAACCCCAAGAGCAGCAAGCAGAGCAAGGACGTCTCGCGGATGCGCTCGGTGCTCATCTCCCTCAAACAGACGCCCCTGTCCCGCTAGGGCCGCCTGGCAGGGCCCGGCCGGGCCTTGAGGGGGGGGTCCCTGGGTCCCTGCCCTCTGCAGTCGGTGGTTGTAACTCTCCCCGTGGTTTTCCTTTTGCTTCAGGGTGCGTCGGTCTCTTTCTACACATATTTATTACTGTGGCATTTCCCCGGGAAGCTGTTAGCAAGGGGATCCCCCAGCCCGAGCCGTGCCCGGGGCCTAACACCCCCTGGGTGCTCCCCACCTCACCCGGTGGAGCAAACCTGCCTGCCTCGGGGGTCCCAGAGGGATCCTGGCTCCCCTCTGCCCTCCTGCGGGGTGTAGGGCAGGGCTGGGGGCTGGGGGCACAGCCCAGACCCTGCTCCACCCCACAAGACCCCGTGGGGAGCCCAGGTGATGCCACAGAGCTGGTGGGAACTGAGGAATGTGAGTGCGGGCACCCCAAAAATTCACAGTTGTGGTGTCTTGTGCCCTGTGGTGCTGGGTGCTGGGAAGGGGGCACGGGACAGGAGTGCAGGGTGCTCCCCGCCCCTCTCCTGTTGCCCCCGACTGTTGGGGTGCCAGGTTTTGGGGGCCTGGGCTCTGCTCTGCTCCTCCCCCTGCCTGGAGGAGGGCAGCTGGAGGCCGTGTGGCTGCAGGGAAGCAGGTAGGAGGTGTGGCTGCTGCGGGGCAGGGCGAGCCTCCAGCTCCCTTAACCCGGGCAGCCGCTCTCGGGCTTCTCCCCGGCCCAATTCCTGCTGGGTTTGCGCCCCAGAGGCAGCAGGGCAGGGGGCTGCTCCCGTTCCCACCCCGTAAGGCTGCTTTCTCCCCTTGCTGGCGGGACTGGCAGTGCCCCCCTGGCTGGGGGGGCAGCTCTGCTCGTGCTGGGGGTGGGAGCAGGCAGCAAAGCAGATCAATCAGCCAGCAGAGCCTCGCTGCAGAGCCCTGCTCCCCCTCTCCCTGCAGAGCAGCTGAATTGCCTCTGGCTGCCTCCCGGGGATCAGGAGCCCCCCGCGGCCCCGGCTGCTGCGTCCCCTGTGCTGGGTGGGGGCTTCCAGCCCTCGGGGAGCGGCGCCCACAGCTCTTCTACATCCCCTCAGCTTCGGTATCATGTGCCCGTTCGAATCACCTGTTACAATAAACCAACATCTCCAAACTGAGCCGACGGGGCTGAGGTGTCTGTGTGTGCTGGAAATACCAACGAGGCAGCAGAATTTCTTCGGGGAAAGGCTTTGAGCAGGCAGTGAGGGGAAGGGGGGAGCTGTGGGGAGCAGCGTGGAGCTCACCCCTTTCCCTCAGCTGTGTCACCAAGGCATCACATTGCCAGCAGATGATGCGTGATGAGTGACAAAGGGAACAAATTTTACCAGGCTGCGACAGCACCAGGATGTCTGTCGGGGCTGGAGAGCCTCGGTGAGACACCCCACGGGTGCTCCAGGAGGATAAACACAAGAAAGAAACACCACAGCTCCAACATCAGGTTAACGAGGGGTGTATTAACCGCACTGCCAGCACCCCAGGGCCCGTGGGAGGCTCTCACTTCCTCGCCTTCATGGCCGTCACCACCATGCCCCCCAGGAGGGCCGCGAAGGTGAAGCCCTGGGCCAGGATCCGCGCCCGCATCAGCAGCTGCGAGCGGCGCGTGTGGCCTCGCTTGAAGCTGATGAGGCCGTAGGTCAGCACGCCCACGGTGCACAGGCAGCCTGCGGAGGAGGGCGGAGGGACAGAGTCAGCAGGGACAGGCGGTGACTGGACGGGATGGAGCCCGGCTGCCCCCGCAGCCTCCCCTGTCCCCACCCGTCCCATTACCCCGAGCCCTGCAGCCTCACAGCATCACTGCAGTGGGGAGAGACCTCCAAGAGCGCCTCGTCCAACCCCTCACCTAACACAACCGCAGCCTCCGCCCTCAGCCTCCTCCTGCTGACCCCAAACCCCGTCAGCCTCCCTCCACAGCCTCCTCCCCCAAATCTAACCCCAAATCCCTGCAGCCTCCACTCACAGCCTTTCTCTGCAGTCTCCCCACTAACCTCAAATCTCTGCAGCCTCACCTCACAGCCTTCCCCTTGCAGCTTCTCCCCACAGCCTCCCCCCCAAATCTAACCCCAAATCCCCTGCAGCCTCTCCCCAACCCTAATTCCTCACAGCCTCCCCCTCCCCACTAACCCCAAACCTCTGCAGCCTCTCCTCACAGCCTCCCCCCAACCCTAATCCCTTGCAGCCTCCCCCCTCACAACCTCCCCCTGACCCCAGCCCCTCACAGCCTTCCCCTCACAGCCCCCCCCATTACCCCAGCCCCCCATCAGCCTCCCCCCACAGCCTCCTCCCCCAAATCTAACCCCAAATCCCTGCAGCCTCCCCACAGCCTCCCCCCAGCCCTAATCCCTCACAGCCTCCCCCTGCAACCTCCTCCTACGGCCTCCCCCCCAACTCTAACCCCAAATCCTCCCAACCTCCCTCCAACCCTAATCCCTCACAGCCTCCCCCTACATCTCCCCCCTAACCCCAACCCCCCGCAGCCTCCCCAGCCCCTCGCAGCCCCTTTTCAGCCTCCCCCAAGCCTCAATCCCTCAGAGCCTCCCCCCGCAGCGCCCCCCCCGTTACCCCAACCCCCTCACAGCCCCCCCCTTGCCGCAGCCCCTCACCCAGGGGCACCAGGGGGTTCTCGCGGGTCTTCCTCAGGAACTTGTCCCCGAAGCCCTCCTCGCGGAACACGGGCAGCCCGCTGGGCAGCGGCGGGGGAGGCCCGGCCTCCATGGCTGCGGGCGCGGGGACGGCAGCAAGCTTGGCCCTCCCCGCCTACCGTAGCCGGGCCGCGGGGCACTCTGGGAGTTGTAGTCCATGGTTGGCGAGTTGAAAGGCGGCGCCCCGCGGGCCGGACTCCATTTCCCGTGGTGCCCCGCGGCCGGGCCCACAAGCGCGGCGTGTGTTGGGGGTGGGGGGGGCAGCCATGCCGAAGGCCAAGGGGAAGAAGCGGCGGCAGAAGTTCGCCTATGGCGTCAACCGCAAGCGGCTCTACCGCAGCGCCCGGCGCCGGGCAGCGCCCCGCATCGAGTGGTGGGCGAGGGGGAGCCGGGGGGAGGGCGTGGGGGGCGTGGGGTGGGGGTTGAGGGGGTGTGGGGTGGGTTGGGGGGGGCGTGGGGGGGCTGTGAGGGGTCGTAGGGGGTGTGGGGGGGCTGAGGGGGTGTGAGGGGGGCGTGGGATGGGGGCTGGGAGGGTTGGGGGGCGTTGGGGGGGACGTGGGGGGGGCTAGAGAGGTGTAGGGGGTGGGTGGGGGGCTGAGGGGGTCGGGGGTGGGGGGCTGAGGGGGTGTGGGGGGACGTGGAAGGGGGTGGGGGGCTGGGAGGGACGCTGAGGGGACGCTTGGGGGCTGAGGGGACGTGGGGTGGGGGCACGGGGGGGCTGAGAGGGTGTTGGGGGGTTTGGGGGTCGTGGGGGGGGCTACGGAGGTGTGGGGGGCGAGTGGGGGGCTGAGGGGGTCGGGGGTGGGGGGCTGAGGGGGTGGGGGGGTGTGGGAGAGAGCTGAGGGGGCGTTTGGGGGGCTGAGGGGATGTGTGGTGGGGGCACGGGGGGGTGAGAGGGTGTTGGGGGGTTTGGGGGTTGTGGGGGGGGCGTGAGGGGTTGTAGGGGGTGGGGGGATTGAGGGGGTGTGGGGGTGTGGGCTGGGGGTTTGGGGGGCTTGGGGGTCCTGGGGGGGCGTGGGATGTGTGGGGAGGGGGCTGGGGGGGTCATGGGCTCTGTGGGGGGGTTGTGGGGGGTGTGGGGGGGGGTGAGATTTGTGGGTAGGGGGGTGTGGGTTGTGGGGGGGTGACCTGAGGCTGGGGGAGTGAGGGTCCTGGGAGGGGGTGGCAGGGGGGCCCCACTCCTCGTGGGGCCACCCGCGGTGAGCCGCTGCCCGTTCCCTCCCAGCTCGCACATCCGCCATGCGTGGGACGCCACCAAGTCGGTGGCACAGAACCTGGCCGAGATGGGCCTGGCCGAGGACCCCAACAAGGCCGTGCCCATCGCCAAGAGGGGGCTGCTGGTGAGTGCGGGCGGGACGGGGAGCGGGGGCTGCCGGGGTGGCTGTCCTGGTCAATATCTGAGGCATTGCTGGGGGTAACGGGACATGGAACAAGGCTGAGGACCGGCACTCAGCCTCCTGAGCAGTGGGATTGGGAGCACTGCAGGCTGGCTGCGTAACAAAATATGGCACAAAGGTGCCAGCCCGGCCGGTGTTGGTGGGTACAGGTGGCCTTGGGAGATGTCACACAGGTGAAAGGGGGCTCGTTGGCTGCAGGTGTTTCTCTCTGCTCAGGTGAGGAGCGGTGCTGTGCCACCTGGGCTTGCCTGTGCACCGAGTGTGCAAAGAAAAGGCTCTGGTTAAGCCAGGGGAGATGTTGTGGTTCATGGTGCTGTTAAGACTTTAAGGAGCAATTTGTGGGGTGAGCTGTTTTCCAAATGGCCTGTGTTTGAGTTGCTTTCTCTCTCATCCAACACAGGGAATGGAGGTGGAGAGCAGTGGGCAGGAGGGAAGGAAGAAGATTGTGCGAAAGCCCTACGTCCTGAACGGTCAGTGCTGCTTCCGTCCTCCTTGGGGGCTGCCTCGCCTGCCTTAGCAGGTTTCCTGCTGAACCTTGCTGCTCTCACTGTGTTTAGGGCTCTCCCGGGGCCCCGTGAGTTGTTCTGTCTCTCGGCATTGTGTTGCAGGACTGTCCTTAGTGCCTGTCCCGTGCTGAGGCAGGGAAGGTTGTTACGTTGTTAATTAAGGAGGTTTTAAGATGTGAGTGTGCACAGGGTGCCCCCGGCAGCAGTCAGCCAGGCTGGAGCAGAGCTGGGAGCCAGAGGAGCAGCTCAGCCTTCCCAGTGTGTCCTCAGCCTCATGAATTCCCTTTCCCTTTCCCTCTCGTGCTGCTTTTTTATTGTACTTCTCCTTGCAGCCCCAGCAGGACTCCTGTCACTCTGAAGCTCGCTGGTGTCTCACACCAGTGGGACAAAAAACTGCAGCGCCCTGCTCTGAGTGCTTTAGTGGTGTTTTAGGGGCAGCAACAGCTCAGCTTCTTCCTCTCCATGTGAGCTGGGGAGCAGCAGCAGCACCGGCCGGGTGCCTGCAGCGTGCCCAGAGAGCTCTCTCACTCATTTTCCTGCCCGGGCAAGCACGGAGCTGTGCTGCAGGAACTGTGCAGCAGGAGCTGCCTCCTTCCTGCAGGACTGGCAGGGTTTGATCATGGGAGCAGGCTGGCTGCTGCCCTTTGAGGCGCTGCTGGTGCTGCTCCCCTGCCTGCCTGCATCACGGTGTCTGTCCTGTGCCTAGAGATGGAATATGAGGCCAGCCTCCCCGAGAAGAAGTCCAACACGCTCTCACGGGACCTCATCGACTACGTGCGCTACATGATTCAGAACCACGGGGAGAACTACAAGGTGAGCGTCGGCTGCCCTGGAGCCAGGGGCACCTGCAGCAGCTCGCTCCTGGCTCTTCTGTGGAGCAGGAGTTGCCAAACGTCCTCGCTTGGGTCCTGTTGCGTAGGCAGCTGATGGCTGAGGGGATGCAGTGCTTGGAAACTCATCCAGATCCATGTCTGGCAGTGGTTGCAGCCTCCTGGGAGGGCCCTCAGGATGTGGCTGCCATGGCTGCTGTGCTGGTTCGGTGTTTGCTCACTGGGCTGTTCCCTGACCTGCCCTCCCCTTGTCGCAGGAAATGGCTCGCGATGAGAAGAACTACTACCAGGACACGCCCAAGCAGATCAAGAGAAAGATCAACGTGTACAAGAACTTCTATCCCGAGGAGTACAAGGCTTTCGTTGCGTCGCTCAAGCCGGAGAAGATGGATGTGCAGTGACTGCCCCTGATTTTCCCTCAGGTCTGCCTGCCAGCGCAGGCCTGGTGCTGCCATTTTATGAACGGAGAGGGCACAGCCGGGCAGGTGACGGCTGCTGCCAGGCTGCGGTTCCTAGGGCTGGGGCAGGCTGAGCTATGCAAAGCCTCTGGCGAAGGAGGAAGAACCTTCGTTAGGCAATTAAAACCTTCGTTAGACAATTATAACCAGGCACAGACGGCTCCTGGCTGCGGCTCGTGGCATTGGGACTGAATGTGCTGCGCTGCTCCCTTTCTGAGTGGGAGCCAGCGCTGCTTTTGCCTTTTTTTAAATAAATTACTCTCCCATGCTGGTAGAAATGTCTCCTGTGGGCTTTCATTGCTGCTCTCGCTGGGCACAGTCCTGCTTTGAGAGCTCGTGGTGCCGACGTGCAGGGCAGGCACCAGATGTGCCGTGCTCATGTGGGGCTGGGCAGTGCTGGGGGCTCTGCCCTGTCCCTGTGAGCAGCAGGGATGGATGCGTGTGCTCTGTGCTCCCCCCGGAGCAATCTCCGTGCCTGCAGCTTCAGGAGACCGGGCTGGGGACCCCTTCCCTGCCAAAGAATGAGGGCAGAGCAGAGAGATCGGCCTCGTTTATTGGCAAGAGGAAGGAGCAGCCGTTAAAAAATGGCTTTATTTTAAAACAGAGGTTGAGGAAGGGCGAGCTGCTGTGCAGCCCAAGCTGGTTATTCCCACAGGTGTGCTTTTTGGGCAGGAGAGCCCACGCAGCCTTCATCAGCACGGGAAAGCTGCGAGCAGGGGGTGTTTTACTCCCCTTGTTTAGGGCTCCATCAGCCACATCAGCTCCAGGGAGGCCAGGGGTGGTGTGAGCCGTGCTGCCTGGGTTCTTGTTGCTATCATAGTGGGACCAGGGACTTGCTCCTGCCCCCCGAGAGCTTCCTGGTGGCTGCTACGCTGCTCTGTGCCTGCCCTAGGGGAGCCTGCGGGGCAGCTAGCTCGGTATTTGAGCCCCAGTATCCCACAGGGCTGCGTGTAGGTGCAGGGCCCTGCCCCGTGCTGTGTTCCCTGCTCACCAGGAGGTAACGGTGCTGCTGCTGCCTCCCAAAGGAGGCTTCCCCCTTGATTTAGGGGGGCAGCTGCCCTCTCCCCTGCTGCTCGTGTCCCCGAGGGCAGCCGCACATCAGCTCAACCCCAAACCCCGCGGGGCGCGTGCCGTGGGTCCTGCCGGTGAGCCCCAGCTCCAGCAGCTCCCAGCACGTCCCAGTAGGAGCCGGTTTGGGCTCAGGACTGGGACAGCAGGCTGACCAGCAGGCTCCTGAGGTGCAGCACGCTGGTGGCCGTGCTCAGGCTGGCCCAGGTCGCGCTGGTGGGCAGGAGGAAGAGCTCCCGCTGGCCGCCCAGCGCCTGCAGCGCCAGCTCCTCCCGCAGCTCCTCCGTGCTCAGGGCATCGCTCTTATCCTGCGGGGGGACAGGAGGAGGCTGGGGGGGGGCCTGCGTGGCCCCGAGCCCGCAGGCTGGGAGCCCCACGGGTGGCTGCCAGGAGCCCTTTGCTGGTGGCTGGCCGGGAGCGCTTTGCTCTTGCAGGGCGGTCACTTGGATGGGGGTCAATGGGAAGCGGCCGCAGGCACGCGTTTGGCTGCCTGCCTGGGCAATCTGGCACCCCGTGGGGATTTTGGACGCTGGCGCTCTCCGGGAACTCGTTAGCTGGGGCATGGGGAGGCGCCCAAATGAGGAACGGCAGCCTGCACCTTGGGACAGGCTGTGGGAGACGGCCCCGCGAGCGAGGGTTTTGCAAGAGCTGGGGGATTTGGGGTGTTCAGATTTCCCCATGGAGTCCCACAAGAGAGGCAATTTGGCTGGAAACACCCCCCGGGGAGCTGCAGGGGGGCACCCACCTGCTTGTTGGCCAGCACCACCAGCGGCAGCCGGGGCTCCTGGGCCAGCAGCGCGTGCAGCTCCTGGCGGGCCGTCAGCAGGCGCTCCCTGTCCACGGAGTCCACCACGAAGACCAGCACGTGGGCCCCGCTCAGGTAATGGGACCAGTACGCTCGCAGGTTCTGGCTGCCACCGACTGCGAGAAACGGGCAGGATCAGTGCCAGTACATAGGGGCGAGTAGGGTGGCTGTGTCCCCTGTGTCCCCGTAGCCTCCTCCCAGGGGAAAACGGACAGCCTTACCCTCCAGCAGGTCCATCTCCAGCCCCTCGACCTGCAGCTGGGCAGAGTTGAAGCCCAGGGTGGGGGGGATGCGTTTCCTGGCCGTCTGGCTGCAGATGTAGTGCAGGACGCTGCTCTTCCCTGCTCCGTCCAGCCCCAGCACCAGCACCTGCTTCCACTCCACCTGGGGGGCAGCGGCACCGGGGGGCTGCTTTAGGGGCTGGCTTGAAACAAGGGGCTCCCCCCAGCCCCCTGTGCCCCCATTCCCAGCCAGATGGAGCTGTATGGTGTCCATACAACTCCCTTGCTCAGCTGGGAGTGCCGGGGGGGTCCCGGTGCTTCCCCCCACCCTACACACCCTTCTCCAGCTGGGTGGGCTCCGAGGGGGCTTCGGACACCCCAGGGTGGGGGGTGGAGGTGTCCTGGGGAACACCCTGAGGGAACCCAGACCCCGTGCACCTTCCCCAACCTGTGTGCGGGATCTCCCTGCTCCTTCCCCATCCTTTTGGGGGATCCCGGTGGGCGACCGTCCCCGCTGCTCGTCCTCACCGTGCTGCCGGGGGGGGCTCGGTCCCGCAGCTCCTTCACCTCCCGCTCCCACCAGCTGTCCCAGCTGGCTCCCAGCTCGGTGTCGCGGAAGTAGAGCTTCCAGGCGATGAAGAGGAGGGAGCCCAGCGCGACCACCGGCGGCCCCCAAAGCCAAGGTCAGGTCGCGGAGAGCTCTGGGGGGAGCCATGCGGCGCCGTGCGGCCCAGATGTGCAACCTGCCGGCCCTGCAACCTGCCAGATGTGCAACCCCGCCACCACGGCCGTGACGTCCGCCCCCAGCGTCACCGCCGAGCTTAAAGGGGAACGATGGGAGCCCGCTGGTGGGGTGGGTGGGAGGGCTGGGAGGGTTGGGAGAGGGTCCTAGGGGTGGGTGGGGGGTGGTGGGGGATGGAGAGAGGGAAGAGGGAGGAGGGAGGGATGGTGGGGAGGTGAAGGGGGCACGGGGAGATGGGGAGATTGGGAGAAGGGGGGTGGGAGGCGATGGTGTGGCTGATGTTGGGGCTGTTCCGAGCCGCCCCCAGCCCCACAGCGGGTCTGGCAGCCTGGTACGCTGTGCCCATATTGCCCAGCACCGTGCCCGCTGCCCTCGGGCTGCTTCGTCCCACTAAAAACACACAGCACACCATGGCCCCGGGACAGCCCAGCTGCAGGCAGCCGTGTGGCCTCATCCCTGAGCCAGATCCCAGCCTTGGGGTGGCTGCAGGTGGGGTGGCAGGAGACCCCCAACCCCACTGAGGGGGGGGGGACGTGGACACGGCCTGAGAGGTGCTGCTGGCGGAGGTGGCACAGAGTGGGACGGGGGATGGCGGCGGGTGGCAGGGCAGCACCCACAGCAGGGCTGTGCAGGCGGTGAGGGCTGGGGGGGGACATGGGGGGCATGGGGGGTATAGGGGACATGGGGGACATAATGGAGCAGCCCCATGTCTCCCCCACCCCCTGCAGCATCCCCGAGCCTCATCCCAGCCCCAGCACCTGCCAGCAGTGCCCACCCGCAGCCCCTCACCCCCCCCATCCCCTCACACCCCCCAATCCCCCATACCCCCCCAATCCCCCATCCCCACCCCCATACCCCACGCACCCCCCCCAGAACTACAACTCCCAGCACCCCCCGCGCGCCGCCCGCCTATAAAACCGCTCCCGGCGGGAGGCGGCGCCATTTGCCCGGCGCCTCAGGCGGCGCCGCTTCTTCCCCCGCCATGCCGCCGCCGCCCCCGCCGCCCCGGGCCCGGTAACGACTCCTCCACCACCACCACCACCACCATGAGCTCCCGGCCACCGGCCGCTCCCGGTAAGGCTCTCCCCGTCCCCACGTTCCCCGGAGATCCGGGTTGGCGGCGGCGCTGAGCCCCGGTGCGTGTGTTGGCAGCGCTGGAGCGGGGCGGCGGGGCCGTGGCCGGGAAGATGTCGCTGCCCCTCGGGGTGCCCCGGCGGGCCTTCAGCTACGACGACGCCCTGGAGGACACGGCCCCCATGACGCCGCCGCCCGCCGACCTGTGTGCCGGGGTGCTGTGGAAGCAGCCCGTCATCCCCGAGCGCAAGTACCAGGAGCTCTCGAAGGTATGGAGTTTTACTGGAAATCTCCCTAAAAAGCAGGCCCGGGGCGCCCGGTTTCACTAAAAAACTCCTAAAACTACCCTTCTGGCATTAATAAGGTGGAATTAAGTGCCTGTGGGGGTGCTCCAGTGGTAGAGAAGCTCTTAGGGGTGTTCCCTGAGTCGTGAAGCTGAATAGCCGTGAGCCTAGCCTCTGCTTTTCATCTCTTCCTTTAAAATCTTCTTTTTTTTTTTTTTTTTTTTGTGGAAAAAAACCCTGAAATTGTGGTTTGGCACAAAAAGTAAACTGTCCAGTCATGGAACAGTAACCTCAGTGTTAGGGGGAGGAGGTCAGTGCTTCACTGGAGTTGTTATTTTGGAGCATTTGCTGCCTGGCTGCTGGGGCCTTGCAGTCAGTGGTAGCTCTGTAAGCGTGAAGTGCTTCCAGCAAGACACTGGAAACATAAAAAATGAGGCGAGGGAGAGCTAATCACCAGCCTGTCATCTGTGAGACTGTCATTTTGCAGACAGCTGGTGCTTCTGAGCTGTCTGTGGAGAAGTTCCTGTCTGCCTGACCTTGCAGTCCAGCCTGTGGCTGTGCGAATTGCCGTGGATGTGTTCTAACTTCGTTCCTACTGACCTTTTTGAACTTAAACTTAATGACTTGTTGGCTCCGAGCCCAGCATGTTTTCGAATGTTGAATGAAAGTTGCTTGCTCACTAAGAATTACTAAGAATAAGGTTCAGGCGATAAGTGTTCCTGGGCTGTGGATAGAACAGCGTTTTTTTTCCCATGGGATAAATTCTTGCTGCTAGTGCAGCTCGGCCTTGTTTCATCGGGGTAGTTGAGATGTGTCGTGATGAAGAGCTGAGGTACTTTCTCACCATAACCTACACCTTCTTCTGCACAGGTGGAGGAGGGGGATGCTCATGTGAATGCACCTGTCATAACTCCTTCATCTTCCACCGAAAGCGTCAACAAGGTACCCGTGGTAAAGGCCAAGGCCACTCATATCATCATGAACTCTCTCATCACAAGTAAGAGCTCAGCTTTCTGTAAGATCTCTGCTTTCTGTAGTTTGGTGGCTGATGGGTGTGGGCACGGGAGTGTGGTCCGGCTTGGTAGTGCCTCGAGGTAACTGTAAGTGTTCCTGGATGGTCTGTGCGTTCAGAGAAACTTTTTTTTTAATCAACACGGTTATTAGAGGACGTTTCTAGAAGGAAGCAGGGAATTAGGGGATAGGCCACCTTACAGCCTCCGTGTTTCCTGGCGCAGGAGTTGAGCAGTGAGGGGGAGTGCAGGGAATGTGCTGTGCTGATAGGGCGCTGCAGTCCACGCCACCTTACGCTGGAGCTCAGAGGCTGCTGCTGGGTGTTTGCTCATTAACTTGGCATTTCTTGCTGTTAGGTAGAGTTCTGCAATTACCTGAAGTTGTGTGGACAGGTGATGTGCTGAGCTAATGGAGCACTTCATGGCATTTATGGTAACAGCAGCAGGTGTCTCGCTAACAGCCAGACTTTAAAAAAACAAACCTCATGAATCATGAAGCTTTAAAATGAAATTGGGCCAGTTATGTTTGCACAGAGAACATGTTCATTTGCAGCAAGGGAAATTAAATGTGTTACTCTGTGCCTGCTGCCTCTTCTTTTAACAGCTGGGATTCATTATTTTCCTACAAGCAATGTTGCCAAAGACCCCTAGGTAGGTTTTAGGCCAGCGTTTTGGAATAGCTTTATGCTTGTTCCTTGTCGTGGCTCAAAAATGACCAGCATACTGGAAGGTACCATGCAGGAGTAGGGATTTTCTGCTGGAAAGCAGCTTTTGTTTTAGTGCAACGATAAAATAACTATCTAGATAAAAGCATGACAGCCTAAAAATGTTCTTATGCAGTAAGAAGTCAGGAACTCTGAATTGCTCCTTCCAGGAGAGAAGTTCAGATGCAAATTGGAAATAGACAAAAGCCTTCTAGATCTCTTGTACAATGCACTATCACTGCAAATAACTTTAATGTTAAAATGCAGGTTCTTTTTTAAAAAAAGACAATAACTTTTCGTGTACTAATTCCTTTTAACTTTGATTCACTAGCCAACCTAAGAACAATTTCCTATGCTGTTAGTAAAAGGTGCTCGCTTCAAGAACTGAACTGGTATCAATCTATTGGCTGGTGGCTCTGTGGTTGGCTGAAGTAACTTATTTTACCTAAGCTAGAATTCCTGTGGGAGTCTTTACCACCTGCTCTGCAATGCTGAGACTGTACAGATCAGCTGGTGTGGGCAGTCTTTCAGAAATCTTACTCTTTCATTGGCAAAAAAAAAAGTTGAAAAATCTAGGGGGCCACTTAAAATATCCAGCTTGTTGTGGGGTCTTCTAGACTTGGGAAATTGTAATTAGAAGTGATGCAGCTTGTTGGATTAAACATGTTTAAATACAAGTGTTACATCTGCAATGCATCCTGTGATTTGGGACAAAGCACTGCCTATCTGACTCGCTTAGCCCCGTGACTCAGGATAGTCCTCCTGTCAGAACAGCTCCTTAGTTTCATCTTGCTGCCTCTGTCAACTCGTCACAGTAGGTATGAATGATGAAATTGCCTGTGGTCACTCGAGTTGCCTTTTCTAGAACTGCTTGTGGTGGCTCTTTTGTGAACGTGTGCTCTTGTCCATTCCAGAGCAGACTCAGGAGAGCATTCAGCGCTTTGAGCAGCAGGCAGGGCTGCGAGAAGCTGGCTACACTCCCCACAAAGGCCTCACCACGGAGGAGACCAAGTATCACCGAGTGGCTGAGGCAGTGCATGTAAGACTTCTTTTCCTTGTGTTTTTTTTTTTTATGTTGGTTGTGTACTAGCCCGACACCTGTCTGACATAACTTTGGGAGCGTGTTGCTGGGACTACTTAAACTGCTTACTCTGAAGGCGTTTAGTGTATTGTGTAAAAAGATTACCCACATATGTTAAACTTGCTGTTGGCCTGTATAGTTTTGAAACAGTTTGTTCTGAAAACTGCAATATTGCCCAGTCACTTCCAGCTGGGGACATCTCTGTACAGAGCCTAGCTTCTTGCTGTACCTCCCAGAGGTGCCCTGCAGTGAACAGTAAGTGTTTGTCCCAGCGTTACCTCTCCAGGGATAGCTGACACGATATGCCAGCCTTCTGGGTATTGAGGGCAGAGCTTGGCATCCAGTCTCTCTGCAAACGCTTGTCTCTGTTGTGGTTCTTCTGTTCAAGAACTGGAAGAGACTTGCCAACTCACATATTTTTAAAGAAAGTATAATTTGAAGTTCAATATATTTTTATGTGCAAATGCAATTTTGAAGGAGCTCAGCTGTTTGGTAAGTGGATGAGGCACTCCCAGATCTTACTGTGCTGAGCAACACTAATCTGAGGGTAGGGCAGAGAAGGCCTTTGACACCTGAAATAAACGTGCTTGGTGAGTTTTGGCCTTCAGTCTTATCCCTGAATCCAAGTAACTTCTCAAATTTTAAAGGTCCTGTTTACATTTTCCAGCTTGATGCTTATTTTGATGATCTTGAATTACCCTCATCTCTTCCAGTGCTACTTTTCCATAGCATTAGTATGCGAAGTGCAGAAGGTACTTATCAGGTGTTTGTGGTGGTTAAGTGGTGAACGGACTGAACTTAGAACTGTACTCGCTGCTGCCTTAGTGATACCAAGCCTCATTTGAGTCCTGTAATGAATCCAGGAACTCCTGGTGCACTGGGACAGCAGTGCTGAAGCTCTGGACCTTTGTTTTGGCTTTGTACTGAGCTAACTTTGCAGTACAAATCAGCAGCCTCCGAATAAGCACTGTTCTAGTTGGGTTACCTATTCCTTGAAACAAGCCAGAACTTGATTATTTGTAAACCACGCATTTCTAATGTTAAAAGTTAGAAAATGAAATCGGGCTTGCTTCTTACTGGAAATAAAGACAAAGGTCTTCAGCCAACATGTTTCTGGTGAGCTCAGCTGCCCACAGTGATCTTGCAGTTGGATTTCAATAGCGAGCCTTCCAGGCATACCCTTGCAAGGTCAAAGTTCCAGTAGCAGCGTCAGTGAGTTGTGTTGGTGTGGCTTGGATAACCACGGGCAATGTTCTGAGAAGGTGCCTGTGCAGTCAGCGTTTGAACTATAACTGTCCTTCAAGTGACTTCTTTCAAGTTCTGTTTGTACAGAATGGCTTGTAATCGCCTGGGTCACACGCACCCAGCTCCTGATTGCTGTGTGACTGGATGTATTCTTCACATGCAGTTCAAATTGTTGTTCTAGTGCAGTGCTTTCACCTTGTTTGTGAATTACTTCTCAGTGTCTCATGCTCCTAGGCTTCTGCACAAGGCCTTGTCTCACCTTCGTTAGAGAACTTGTGGGGCTGAAGCCTCTGCTCGGAGCAGTGCTCCAGACACACGGCTGCTGTGGCACTTGGACTTGTCACCATGCAGCCAGCAGTTCAGCCAGCTCTGCTGCACTGGAGGCAACCTTCCTGGGAGTACTGGTATTTAAGCAGTGTGCTGCTGTTGAGCAGTGACTGACATGCAGTGAGCTACGTGGTTTTCTTCCTTTAGCTTGGAGGGTGTCCACTTGCATGAGCATAGTGATGAAATGTTTGTATGCGACCTGGAAAGAAGGTTAAGGGTTGTATGCAAGTATTGTAATACTGAGTATAACTAGGTTAAAGTAACACTTTAAATCCCTTGTCTGTGATACAAACAGTTGTCCAGTTTTGACAGTAAAACTGGCTGCATTCCATGTATGCCTTGTACTTAAGGTCTGTTGCTTGTATTTCTCTTGCCTTTCCCAACAGAAGCTAAAAATGCAGAGTGGAGAAATGACAAAAGACGACAAACAGACTTCTTCTGCCCAGTCCACTCCAAGCAGCACTCCCCACTCGTCTCCCAAGCATAAAAACAGGTACCGTGCCCCTGGCAGATCACTGCCTCTGTGGTTTCCTGCAGGCTGCTGAGGTGGGATGTGCTGCAAATACTCCCTTTACGCTGTGAGGGACTCTCTGAAGGGTGGAGTTCAGGGACTGCTGTGGATTTGCATCAGAACCAAATATATTGGAAGCTTATGGGACTTCTGTCAAATAAAGGCAAATTCAAGGCAAATCTGTTAAGACCTTTCAGGTTGTCCCTGGTAACTACATGTAAAGTTTCTGGTGCAGTGGGGCCCACCTGAAGTCATTTATACATCCCAGTGATTTTTTTCCATAGGAGTTGGTTCAGTCAGGGATCCTCTGCTTCTATCACTGGCCCAGACTTTGTTGCCATGGAAGCTGGTGGGGACAGATTGCCATCTGAAAGATGGAGTTTTTTTGGACCCAAAGCCATCCAGAAATCCACCAACGATCCAGGTATGTCCTCTAAAATCTCCTGCATTGCAGGAGGTGGGGAGAACTGTTAGCAAAAATGCTAGCTGTTTCCATTCACCTTGGGGGAGTGTGTGCTACTCATACTGTTTCTGTGCCAAACAGAATGGTACAGCACTCAGTACTGGCAGGAGTGGAGAAAGGACTTGGCTAGTTTTCCTAGCCCTTACTTGCTGGGATTTTTATTTTTTTACCAGGAGGATTTACCATCCAATCCTATAAGGGTGCCCAGAAGCCATCCCCAATGGAGCTGATGCGTGCTCAGGCTACTAGGATGCCGGAGGATCCAGTCACCTTCAAGCCACCCAAAATGGACATTCCAGTCACAGAAGGGAGGAAACAATCTCCGCGTTCCCATAACATCAAACCACGGGATCTGAATGTGCTCACTCCAACTGGGTTCTAGGAAAAGTGCTGCTGGTATCCCTAGTACCTACCTAGAAGGTGTCCCTGTGCCGTTGTGCTGCAGTAAAATAGGAATGTCTCCCTTCCAGCTCCTCATCTCAGAACAGGAAATAGCTGTGACTGTCCTCCTAATGCCAGCCTTGAATCAGTCCTGGAAAAACTCCTGCACTCGTGCTAAATGATTGCAAACCATCTTCTCTGCTGTACTGCACCAGCTCTGTCTGCTAGGCTGCACTGCGAGACACATGTCCCAGTATGTTGTGCTAAAGTAAAACCTCGAGCCATGTCCTGTGGGAGAGGACGGCGTGGGTGTGCAGATAGGCTGGCGTGTCTGCGTGTGGTCTGGTTGGCTTGTCCTGCTCAGTGTTGAGGTACCCTCAGGAGGACTGGTTCTGTCACGTACAGAACAGCAGAAAATGATGAAAACAAGCAAGGAGCAAAAGCTGGACCGTTAGCTGCCAGGAGGGAAGAAAACTGCTCTGGGAATGTGGTAGGTCAGCTTTAAACATGCAGCTCCCTTACTGTCTGCTGTGACCTTATAGTTCAGCGTCTAGTAACTTGCTTCTTCCTGGGCTAACTTCAAAGGAAGAGCATAGCCCTGCCTGTTATAAGATACTCTTGTTATAAAGGTGGGGGAAGGATCTAAGGAGGCTTGGCAGTAATGAGAGAACTGCTTCTCTCCTAGCTCTCTGGGTTCCTCCAGAAATTGTAGAAATGACCAGAGCTGGTGTGGCTTGAACCAAGTAAATCCTCTTTTCTTTCTGCAAAGCAACTCTGTCTGGGCTCGTCCTAGACAGGTGTGCAGTAGTTCTGGCACTCTGGTTGCTGCTTCATTATTTTTCTGGCATCTTGTGTGAATCATGCAGAAATGTACTGGGTACCAGTGGCACTTCTCAAAAGGGTCTTTCATTTCATCAGCATTAAACAGATTTTGCAGGGCTGGGGGAAGACTAAGTGGAAGATAAGGCTAAATGTTCCTCCTCCGTGCTGTGACACAGTGACGTGTAGTTTTTTTGGCCTAGTTTTTACCAGTTACTGCAAACAGTTAACACTTGCTTTCATGAAAAGTGGAAGGACCTCCTAGCTGCCATCTAATCCTTTGATCTGTAGACAGCATTGCTGTGTAATTGTCACCCGTCCTGTGGCAATCAGGACTCTTCTTGATCTCATGATTGTGCTGCGGAGCTCCCTCAGCCAGAAGACAGCTCTGTGGTGCTGAGGTGGGAGTGGCAGCCTCGCATCTGTTGTTAGAAGCTTTTCTGTTACAAGGACTTTTTACAGAGGTGACTTCAGGTTGTGGTCTGGAGCTTCTGCCTGCTCCAACTGTTCAGGAACTGACTAACTTGGTTAGCTGCCCTCTAAGGAATATATTCTGTGGCCCTGCTTCATCTCAAGCTTCAGCAGCACTGCCAGCGGTGTTAGGTTGAAAGCCTCCCACCCAGCCGAGCAGTTACCGCTGTCACCAGTCATTTGCACCTTGATGATCAGAATCTCTCGTTTGACATTAATTTATTGTCTGTATTCATGTCTTAAATGTGTATGATTTTTGTTACAAGAAAATAAAACCCTTGTGAATGGAGGTCCTTGTTTTTTAGTGTTGGTAAAGCACCTGTGGAAGAAATGTGGGGCTGTGCAGTGCCTACCAGGCTGCTTGCTGCTGGCCAACAAGCGTGGGGCCAAGGTTCTGCCTACGAAGGCTGATAGCACTCATTGTGGTAAATACTTGCTGTGTAAAACTCCCCTTTGACAGGAAGACTAGGTTTAAAGCCACATCAAGTCCTGTTTTAGGCCTTTTGCTGATGAAACCTTGTAGTTTCTTGAGCTGTTCAGATGAATGCAGCTGCACCAAGGAGCTGGGCACGGATGTGGGAACCAGGCTGGTGTTTGCCTAGTGATGCCCAGCTCCTGGCTTTGCCTTCTTCCTATGGGTTTGAGTGCTCCTGATAGAGCACACAGTTCTGGGTGTGGGGCATGACTGAGCTGAACACTGCCTTGTTTTTCTTTGAATGTTTGCAGAGCTGAAAGTGGTGGAATGGATCCTGAAGCACCTACATGCTCTTGTACTGTCTGCTGCTGCAGGTCCTGGTTACAGCTCAGTTTAGTTCCAAAGGCTGCTGTTAAGGGGTGGTCTCTTGGTGGGATGCTCTCATTCTGCTTTCTGTATCGTGCTCAGGTTTTGTTCCTGGGATATGATCAAAGTATCAGAAAACAACATCTAACTCTGGACCTGCTGAATTACCATTCTGGAAGAAGTGCTGCCCTTCCAGCTAAGGCTGCTATCCATGCCTTTCCTGATGTGGCTAGCTGCCTTGCTCCAAATCACATCGGTGGGATTGTTTAGGGAAAGGTTCATCCCCTGAGTGTCCTGGACACTCAGTGTCTTGACACTGTGAACCTCCTCGCTGTTATCTACAGCTGTGTTTTGATAAGTTCATCGACTTCCCTAGATACTGAACAGGTATTAGGGCATTTTGCCATGCAAACTATTGCCAGTTCACGGCTGCTTCAGACTAATGCTATCCCAAGGTACAGCTAGCAGAGCTTTGGGCACCAAGAAGGAAGAGGCTCAACAAATACAAAATTTTTTTTTTCCACAGTTGTACAAAGTGCTCTGGAAAACTGTAGGATGAAGCAGATTTGGAAGGAAATTCTGACACTGTAAACAAAAGATTTTCCAAATATATTAAACATGACATGACACTTGAGACTGCAGCATGAGACAGGGTTTTACGTTCACAGTTTTTAAAGGAAACACGAAGCTGCATCAGGTAGCAGTGAAGATGAGAAACAGCTGCTGGATCATGCACACTTTCTCATTGATCTGCAGTGGAAAGGGCTGCCCCAGGAGCTGCTGCATTCGGCTGAGGAAGTCCTCTGTCTTCAGGTAGATGTCCAGGTGGCTGATCTCATCGTCATCCTGGAGCCTGGGCTTGGCTTTCTGAATGATCAAGTCCATCCGCTCATAGAGTGAGCTCCGTAAGTGGTCTGCAAGAGGAAATGCTGTTGGGAAGAGGTAACGTGCCAATGGGCCAGCTGGCCTCCTAGGGACCGATCGCAGCATCCCCTGGCAGTGCTGTGCAGCAGCAGAGCAGCTGGGAACTGTGCAGGCCCCCTCCTGGTTATCCTTGGCACTCCTGCACAAGACTAGCCTGGTGGAAGAAGGCACTGTCCCCTTCTGGAGCTGTCTGCGCGTGGAGAGAGACCAAGACATGGAGAGGGGCAGGCAGGGCTGTAGCGTCCCTTCTGCCAGTGCTAGTGGCAGACTGGACAGCTGTCCAGCTGCAAAGATGGGCTCCAAAGAGCTTAATGGTGCTCTTCTGAGGTTTCAGGGACACCAGCACACTATGCACATGTGGCTGTGGGTTTCTCTGCGTTTATCTGAGCGCCTTAACTCCGGTAAGGCAGAATTTGGTAAGGGACTTTAGGAAATTTTGGATAAAATGGGAGCGTTTTGTGACTGTGACAAACTGCAGGGGTCAGAAATAGTGCTCCTTCCAGGGCTGCTGGTGGTGCTCCCTGCCCAGTGTAAGTGCTTGGTGTGTCCTGGCTTTACCACCCCCTTTGCCTTCTGCTTTTCCTCCTAAGCCACTGAATTCTGCCTGCTGTGCCCCCAGCTTAACAGTGGGTGCACAGCGCTCTGCTGCCTACTTCCCAGGGCTGGCACTGCTACTTCAGGCAATTTCTTGGCAGCTAAACTTGGCAAAGCAGGTGGTGCTCCCTGCTTGATGCAGTAGCACTTTTTTGCTCTGACTGCTGAGAATAGTTCCCAGGAAGGATGAAGCACATCATCTTTCTAAGCCTTTGTGGCTGTGAGCTCAAGAGTGGTGAGGTGAAGTATTTGGGCTGTTCCACTGCAGCCTCTTGATGAGTTTGTGTTTATTAAAGCCAGAACAGGCTGCTTACCCAGTATTACGTTTTGGTAACTTATTAGCAGCAAACTCAAGTATTCCAGCATTTCGTCCCATCTCTGCCATGTTGCTACGTCATCCTAGGACAGGAGACAGGATTTGGTTAGTCGGAGAGGTTTTCTCAGGAGAAGGCAATGCAAGGGGGAGGGAGGATGGACAGGATACCTGGTACTGAAGCAGCACAGAGGAGTGGCCCAGGAAATACAGGATCTTGGACAGAGACAAGGGCAAGGTTGTGGGCACGTCACAACTGTGATGGAACATCATCTCCAGCAGTTTGCAGCGCAGGAGGTGGCTATCCATGCTGTTTAACAGAGCTTCCCTGAAAGACAAAGGCGTTTATTGTGGGGGAGACAGCACAGCCTGACCAGGAGCAGCTGCTTCAGCATGTTTCTGGTGTCTTGCTGGTGCTGATCTGCTGCGAGAGCGGGGTGACTGGAGGGGCTGCCCACAAGGACAGTGGAAGCAAGCCCACCAGATGGGACAAACCTGTGTCAGGCGGCTTGGCCACAGGTGTGCTTACAGTATTTGGGTCTGATCTGTGGCAACCCGAGTTGGGTATGGCCTGTGGAACAAGCTGAGTTGCTTCACTTTCCCCTGCCCAGCAGCCTGTGCAGCAGTTAGCCATTCCTGCTGACTCGCAGGGAGCAGAGCCAAGCAAGTGTGAAGTGGTGTCAGCTGCCAGCTGGATCTAGGAGATCTGCCTTGAATGAGTGATAGCTTGGCTAGAGTCAATTTGGCTTGCTTAGACCCAGTCTGTGCTCAGAGTTCTGCTAAAAGGATCTGAAAGGGTTTGAAACATCTGTGCCTTGTGGTCTCCCGTCTATGCCAGAGCCACTCAGGCCCTGTGCCTTGGCTTCAGGCACCGCACTTCTTACAGAAGCAAACAAAAGCTTGTCCAGGCAGAGCTGCAGGAAGTGTCACTTCTGAGGAGCTTCTCAGTAGTGCCTGGGAATCAGTGCTGTCTGCTGGGACTCGACTGTGCTTGTGCAGAGCTGCTTTTTAGACCCTCTGTGCATTTGTAAGGTTATGCAACGAGTAGGAGAATTGATTGTTCTCAGCATCACACTGGGGAGATGGGTGCAGTTGGTGATGCTGATGGCCTCTGTTAGTCCCATAGCTGTGCTCTTGCTGGCTGGGTCACAAATGGGCCCATCTTTCTATACCTTCTATTCCTGTATGCATTCAGATTTAGATGCAAGTTGGGAATAAGACCACTGACCGGTAAGGAGATGCTGCTTTGCACACGTTTGTCTCACCTTTGGCTCCTCACAGGAATATTCAGAATGAATGGGAATATTAAATCAGCGATCTTGTAGGAGTTGCAGTTGGGAGATCTGTCCACTTCCACCGCCATGGACAGCATCCGCTGGAGCAGGAACATTGCCCTAGGTCAGAGAGAGTCAACGTTAGGAGACAGCACCCCTCGTTCTGCACAGCTCTGGGGGTGGGATCTAGCTCAGCACTGTGCCTCGCAGCGAGGGGTGTCAGGGAAAGTAGCAGGTTAGATTGGATTTGCTTCCTGCGAAGCCCTGTGGTGTCCCTTGGTGTCTGTTGAATCCGATGCTCTTGGAAGCAATTAATCCCCAGAGGGGCCTTAGGAAAGTCTCTGGGGCTGTACTGAGCATTGGAGGAACAGCATGGGGCAGCCTGGGCTGTGGGCTCCAGCCTTGATGCAGGAGGAAGGTGCTCACTGAGCCAGTTTTCCACCAAGTGAGGGAGCCTCTTGTTCCCTGAGCCCCTCTACCCCAGAGAAAACACCAGTAAAGCTGGGTGCAGGTACAGCCTGGCTTCCCTCACTTGGCAGGGACACAGGTCTTGCTTCTCCCTGCCCCTAGCCCCGCGTTACGGCAGTGGGAAGCCAGGCCCTGGGCTTACTTCTGGGCGAAGACAGTTGATGGGAGCGCCTCTGCCCCACCAGCGCTGCATGGCCTTGCTGCGGGTGAGCTGCATTCAGCCCGTGCTGCTGCCGAGTGCGTCCCCTCCGCCTCCTGGGGCTGGGAGAACCCGATTCCTGTCACTGCTGCCACCAACCATTCAACCACCTCCCTGGGAGAGAAACAGGAGCGTTAGTGGGGTTGGGCCTGGCCTTGCTGCGTCCTGACCTCCAGCTCTGTTTGGAGGCTGAGGAAAGACCCCAAGGAGGGAGGAGATGTCCAACCTGCGTGGGCAGGCTGGGGAATGGTTCTGCTGAGCAGCAGCTTTAGGTGCTTGACAAGAGGATTGCCTCCTCATTCCTGTACTGAGCTAGGCAAATCTGATCACATTCCTGAAAAAAAGCCTGCTAGGCTGTGGTTTGGAAATGCCTTGCATCATTTTTGGTGGTTTGCTGTCATAAACCTGTCATAAACCTGCTACTATTCCTTACGCTTGGTCCCTATAGTTTCCTCTCTTTCCTAAGCTTGTTTCTTGAAAAATGTGACCTGCATTCTGAAGAAAGTGTCCCCTAAGCCCCTGCCCCTCCCCATCTGGTCGGAGTAGAGGGGAGGAAGAGGCATCCCTTACTTCACGTTGCTGAAGCACCCGTTACAGGAAAGCACTTTCTTGGCAATTGACTTCTGCAGCAGGCGCAGCCGCAGGTTATGCTGGAAGTCATCCTCCAGGGTCTGCACCACGTACTGCAGGAAGAGCAGGCGGCCAGGGGGCTTCTCCTGGGGGCGGACAGAGATGGTGTGAGGCTGCTGGAGCCCCAGGGCAAGGAGCGACAGGGAATTTGGCTGTGTGGGGAATGGGCTCATATGACTAAGGAGTAGTACCTGGTCCTCCATGATGTACTTCAGCAGCGCCCAGTTCCATCCCATGGTGCTGGTGGTGGCTGGATGGAGCCTGCAAGGACAGCGTTGTCTGCTGGCACTCGCCTGCCTTGGGGTCAGGCAGCCCCTGCCCCAGGCCCTCCCCTGCCCCTGCTGCTCTGGTGCCCGTGCTGCCTCCTCTCTAGCTCTGCCCTCTCCCTTTCCCCTCTCACCACATCTGCTCATCACCTCTTTAGGAAAAAGGTGAGCACTCCTCTGTCCTACAGGACTTCTGGTGTCACAGGCTGTCCCTGCAGCTACCTTGCTACTAAAGGATTAACGCGTGCTTCTGGTATTTTCCTTTTTGTCTCAGCATCCCCTGCCTCCCTCATCCCCACGTCCTCCATCCAGTTGGGTGTTCAGTGGCTGCTGTCTATGCCAGCCGTGGTTCTGACCTGCCCGCGGTGCCTGCATCAGTTCTGATAACAGGGAGCAGGGGAAGGATCATCCTGAGGAAATCGTTCCCCGTTCCGTGGGTGAGGACCACGGCAGATAACCTGTCTGCTGGGCAGCCCCAGGGTGTGGTGGCAGAGGGAACACGTACATTTGGATCTTCATCAGCAGCATGTAGGTGTCCTTCAGGACCTCCCCCTGGTGGGGGTTCAGCAGGATGTGCCTGACCAGGTGGGAGATGGTTTCTTTGGGAGGGTAGTGCTGGCCGGAGACGAAGTCGTTCAGTAAATGCAAGGTGCCCTCCAGGAAATTCTCCTCTATGGTGGTCTGCACCATGCTCAATCTCCTGCTGGGGATGAGCTCGGCTTTCTGCTGCGTGCAAAGCAAAGGCAATGGGTGAAAACCAGCTCTCTGTGGTGCAGAGGAACCCAGCTGTGTTTAGGGCCCACCGCTAAGGAACTGCAATAACCAGAGATCCCGATCACCAGGCAAAGCTTCCCCTGAAAGGGCAGAGCAGGGGCTGCCCCTGCTCCGAACCCCATTTACCTGCAGTGTTTCCCTGTTGCGTGTTAAGCCTGTGGAAGGAGAGGTGGTGGACTCCGCTCCTCCTGAAATAGCGCAGTTTGTTCAGCCAGACCCTGCTGTCAGCCGTGGTCCTGCCTGGGGTCGAGGTCGCTTGCTGGGTTGCTGTTTTTAGTGCTGAGTCCCCCTCTTCCAGCAAAGGCCCTTTGGCCTTCCCTGGGCTTGTGGCGATGTTGCCTGGGACAGGGCTTGGACTTGTGGGGAGCTCCTTTAGCTGGGAGGTGTGGGGAGTCTCCTCCTCTGTGCCGCAGTTTCCACAGCTGCTGCTGCTGCTGTGCAGACTGGAGGGGGACAGGGAGAAGAGGTCTGGGTCCAGCAGCATGCTGGCCAGGGAGCCCAAGTCGCTGTTAAACGTGGTGGTGCTGCAGTTCTGCTCCGGGCTGCAGAAGGAGCTGTGGTGGCTGGAGGCAGGAGAGCAGCAGCCCTTGTTCTCCGCCGTTCCTGCCGTGTCTGCGGCAGCGCAGGGGTACGCGGGAGCGTCAGTGCTGGGGTGCTGTGGGGCTCAGCCCCTCCGCCCCCTCTGTTTCTTGCTTTGTGGTGAAGCAAAGCCTGGGATGGGACGCGTGTCCAGCTGGGCCAGCAGGCTCCCCATCGGCACAGTCCGTGGGTGGAGGAGGGCTGCACGTGTCTTCATTCGTCAGGTCGATGACGGTGACGCTGCTCCACGGTGTCGCCTCTGTGCTCGTGTCCTCACAGGTCAGATCGATGATCTCCTGCGGGGACAGAGAGGTGTCAGCAGCAGTGACACCTGAGGAACATCTACAGCGGCACCACGTTGTCCCTGCTCAGCCGGGAGAGCCCTGGGGACACGGGGACTCACTCCTCAGCGGCCGGGGACAGAAACATGGAGCAAATCCCCTGCTGCTTGGCCCAGGGGCTGGAGGCAGGCTGCGGGTAGCAGCCCCCAGCCCTGCTCCTGGCCTCCCATGGTCAGGGAGGGCCGGGAGCTCCTCACCCCAGCGCTACCTCCACATCCAGCGGCGAGATGACGGGGGGGGGGGGGGGGGGGCTACCAGGGGGCTACCGGCTTCCAACGGCCCCAACCCACCTCAGAACGGGGTCGGGGGGCAACGAACGGCCCCTCAGACCCCCGCCCTGTGAGGAATCGGCTACCGGGGCAACCCCTGAGGCGGCTCCCAGGGCGTGGGGGGCGGCAAAACCCTCAGGGACGGGGCAGTACCGGGGGTGCAGCGGGGCCGCCCCGCGAGGCGCCTCCCTCCCTTCCTCCTCCTCCTCCTCCTCCCTCCCTCCCTCACCGCGGGGCTCTCCCGGTGGTGGTGGCGGCGGAGGAGGCGGTGGCGGCGTTGTTGCGGGGAGCGGCCGCCGCCTGATGCCGTCCCTGTGAGGAACGGGGCGGCCGCCATCTTAGCGGCGGGAAGCGCGTCAGGGGCCGGCGGGGCGGGCTCGGGGGCGGCCCTGAGGCGGCGGCGGCCCCGGCCCCGCCATGGCGGTGTCTCCCTACGTGCAGGCCATGCAGGAGCTGTTCCGGGCCAACACGAGGAGCCGCGAGTTCCCGGCTCACGGCGCTAAGGTGCACTCGGTGGCCTGGAGCTGCTGCGGCCGCCGCCTGGCCTCTGGGTCTTTCGATAAGACGGCCAGCGTCTTCCTGCTCGAGAAGGACCGGCTGGTGAGGAGGCGGGAGGGGGGTGGGGGGGAGGTGGGGAGGCCGCTGGGGAGGGGGGGAGCAGCGGAGGGACCCCGGTTGGGGCAGGGAGCGACCGTGGGGGTCGGTACTGGGATATGGGGATCGGTATTGGGGTATGGGGGTCGGTACTGGGATGTGGGGGAGGTACTGGGGTCAGGGGGCTGGTACTGGGACACAGGGACCAGTACTGGGGTCAGGGGGCCGGTACTGGGATATGGGGGTTGGTACTGGGGTGTTTGGGGGAGATACCAGGGTGTGGGGGCTGGTACTGGGATCAGAGATCTGGTACTGGGACACAGGGGCCAGTACTGGGGTGTGGGGGCTGGTACCAGGATCTGATGTCCAATACCGGGGTGTGTGGGGGAGGTACCGGGGCATGGGGGCCAGTACTGGGGTGTGGGGGCTGGTACTGGGATCAGAGAGCTGATACTGGGATACAGGCCCAGTACTGGGGTGTGGGGGCTGGTACCAGGATCTGATGTCCAGTACCAGGGTGTATGGGGCAGGTACTGGGGCATGGGGGCTGGTACCGGAGCCTGGGGGCTGGTACTGGGGCCTGGGGGCCGGTACCAGGATCAGGGAGCTGGTACCAGGATATGGGGGCTGCTACTGGGGTCGGTGTCTGTTAGGGGAGGCTGGGGACCGTGTTTGAAGCAGTGGTGGAGGTGCTGGGGATCAGTAACCGGCAGTGCCCTGGGGATGGGCTGACCTGGCCAGGGCTCTTTCCCCCGTTGGATAACCGTCCTCTTCCCCCAGGTGAAGGAGAACAACTACCGGGGGCACGGGGACAGCGTGGATCAGCTCTGCTGGCACCCCAGCAACCCCGACCTCTTTGTCACGGCATCTGGGGACAAGACCATCCGCATCTGGGACGTCCGCACCACCAAGTGCATCGCCACCGTCAACACCAAAGGTGTGTCCCTGCCTTCTGGAGGCTGCTGGGCCCCACAGCACCCCTGCTGTGTGGGACCCCTCTTCAATGATCCTGCTCCCTGGCCTCATGTGTTGGGTTTGGCAATCAGGGCAGCTTTATTGCTGCTTCTGGTTTCGTGATGCCCTCATCTAACTTGAGCTGGGGTAAGGGGCAGCAGTGACCACGAGGGCTGGCTCCCGTAGGTGCCAGGACTGGAGGAGCTGCTGAAATATGCAGCTGACTGTTAAAGCATCCTGTGTGCTCGTCTCTGCAGGCTGGGGGCTACAAGGCTGGAGGCTGGGGAAGGCGTGTTTGCAGAGACAAAAGGTGGAAGTCAAAGTTTACATGGATTTAGAAAGCGATTCTTCAAATGTATGGCTTGATTGATGCAGATACCATCTCTGGCCTAAGAAATCTCTGACTTCCAATTGTCAGAGCTGGAAACAATGTTGTAAGGTGGCATAATTGCAGCCTGCCTTGTTCCTACCCTTGTTCATGTGTGTTTGTTGATGGCTGCTGCTTGTTCTGGATGTTGAAGATCATAGAGTTAAGGGGGTCTTTGATCTGACCTTGTTTGGTGGTTGCTGCGGCTAAAATAGAAAGGGTAACGATGCAGTCATGTTGACTTGAAACTATGGTTCTGTGAATTTGAATTTTCAGTCATTGTACATGTTGCTGGACAGTTACTGTACAGAGTGTGAATGTTAAATTGCAGACCTGGCAGTCTTTCCCATCTGGGAGTTGGTCAGAGTTAGTGGAGCAGACTGGGGCCTTGGATCAGGAATAAAAGTAGCCTACCTGCTTAATGCCCTGGGGCTCCTGCAGGCTCCTCATACGTGTGGAAATGAGACCTGTGGAAACAAGACCTGTTGTCTTTCTGCCCCTCTAGGGGAGAACATCAACATCTGCTTGGAGCCCTGATGGGCAGACCATTGCAGTGGGGAACAAGGATGATGTTGTCACCTTCATCGATGCCAAGACACATCGCTCCAAAGCGGAGGAACAGTTCAAGTTTGAGGTGAATGAGATCTCCTGGAACAACGATAACAACATGTTCTTCCTCACTAACGGGAACGGCTGCATCAACATCCTCAGGTGGGTGCCAGGACAGCTGGCGGGCCGGGTACCTGGGCTGGCTGTCCTGGTGTGTTTCTGTCATCCAAGGCAGGTCTGTAACCCCCTGTGCTGCTTTTGGGAAGTGCCACACCCCAGAAATCCCCAGTCCTGTGGTGGGAACGAGCTTATCTGGAATGAGGTTGTCCCATTTCTGGGCTGGGCTCCCTGTGCATGACCCAGAGGATTTTGTCTCCTTCACCCAGCCCTCGAGGCTTCCAGCAGTGTCGCCCTGCACTGTTCTGCTTCACTCAGAGTCCCCGTGTGTTTTACACTTCCACACAACCACCACCCTTCTCTCACTGCTTCCTGCCCTCTCCCTTCATCTCCGCAGCTACCCGGAGCTGAAACCCATTCAGTCCATCAACGCCCATCCCTCCAACTGCATCTGCATCAAGTTTGACCCCATGGGGAAGTACTTTGCCACGGGCAGCGCTGATGCGCTCGTCAGCCTCTGGGATGTGGACGAGCTGGTGTGTGTGAGGTGCTTCTCCAGGTAGGTGCTGCTGGCCCGACGCTCTCTGCCTCCTCCCTCTCGTGGCCGTGGGGGGATCGCTCACTCTCTGCTTTGCCCTCCTGCTGCAGGCTGGACTGGCCCGTGCGAACGCTGAGCTTCAGCCACGACGGGAAGATGCTGGCGTCGGCATCGGAGGATCACTTCATTGACATTGCGGAGGTGGAGACAGGTAACGGCTTAATTTTTGGGAGCAGTAAGGGGGGAATCGTGTGGAGAAGCGCTGGTGGAGCTGGGAGGGCACTGCAGGAGCTTGGTGAGCACAACAGAGCGCCAGAAGAGGGAGCCTCTGCCTCGCTAATCCCTCGTAGATCTGCGTGTCGTGTCTGAGCCTTGTCACCAGGTGATTAAAAGGCGCTGAAGCAGCGTTTGCTCCTCCGCTGCCCTGCGTGGGAGGGAGGAGGCAGGTGCTTGGCCCTGCTGCGCTGCCACGGGGCAGCGTGCAGCGCGGGGCTGCGCTGACGTGGGGCCTTTTCCGTGCAGGAGAGAAGCTCTGGGAGGTGCAGTGCGAGTCCCCCACCTTCACAGTGGCCTGGCACCCGAAGAGGCCGCTGCTGGCCTTCGCCTGCGACGACAAAGATGGCAAATACGACAGCAGCCGGGAGGCGGGCACTGTCAAGCTCTTTGGGCTCCCCAATGACTCCTAAGGAAATGGCAGCGGGGCAGGGCAGCGGGGAGGTGATGCTGCCCTGCCCCCAGGTTTGGGAGGGTGCTCGGGTAGCGTAGGAACGGGGTGAGGAGGGGCTGAGGAGGTTGCTCCCCTCCTCACCCGCTCGGCAGTGCCCTCGTGGTGTTGTCCCAGCTCCTCGTGTGCCGCTCTCGAGAGCGTTTGTAAACAGCAGCTGGTGGGCTGGTGAGGCTGGGGGTGCCAGCACAGCCCCCCCCTCACTATCTCAGGGCTGCCTTGTCTCCAGGCCATGCAGGGCCTGTTCTGAAGGCAAGTGGCCAAAGAGAATCACTGAAGAGAATCACCCTCACGGCCTGGGGGTGAGGGCAGCCCTGGAGCTCAGCCTGCTTCTTCCCCTCCCACACGTCCCCCGTCTCTATCCCGTGTGGGGCAGCACGGGGAGGGTTGGGGGGGATGCATGGGCTGGGGGATGTTTACCCCCTGCTGGGGCATTTTTTTTTTTTTGTATGTGTGGTTGTTTTTATAATTTTGATAAATCCTCTTCCGTAACGAAGGCGCCTGTGGCTGTTGTGGGGGCAGGAGGAGGTGAGTGGGGGAAAAAGGGAGGTGCTGAGCCGCTGGCCCCTTCCCTCTCCCTGTCCCCATCCCCGTGTCCCCATGTCCTGTGCTGTCACTGCACCAGAGGGCGCTGCGCCCCCACGCTGGAGCAGCAGGGACACCGCACAGAGGATGGGGACAGCTCCGTGGGGCCGTCCCCATCCTGTTTCCCCCTGTCCCTGCCCTCCCCGCTGCGCTCTGGCAGCACCCCCATGGGTGGAGCAGGGCCGTGGTGGCAGCAGGTGACCCCAGCCCGTCCCCGTGTCCCCGTCCCCCCACCCCCAGCAGGGCAGAGCCAATTTTCCCACCCCAAGACCCTGTCACGTCGCAGCTGGGCACGGCGAGGCGGTGCTGGTGCAGCCTGCCTGCGATGGAGACCTTCCCTGCGTGATCTTTATCATTCCCTCGCCCGATATTTCCTCCTGACAGAGGCTTTTCCAGGTGACTGCTCCGCTGATGCCGCCTGGGTAACAGCTGAGCTCTTTGCTCTTAAATGATGGCAAATCGGTCGAGGCTGAGGCTGGCTGCGATCAGAGCCCTGCAGGGCTGGGGGCCCTGCCTGGCTGGGGGGGGGGCACGAGGCACCCCGCTGCCCAGGGCCTGCTGCTTTTGGGGGACCGGACTTGGGGTGTCCCCAGCCTCAACGGCAGGAGAGCAAAAAGAGCCCTCGTACCCCGTGGGTGCCCCCACATATTCTGTGGGGGGAGTCCCAGAGCCTGGGGGAAGGGCAGGAGCCCCCCTGCTGTACCCGTGGGTTTGTAGGATGGGCCCCAAAGCCTTTTCCCTTGTCTCCAGTCCCACAGAGGGTGCTTTCAGGGTAGGCACTGGGGAATGGGAGCCAGGGAGGCCTTCCCCTTCCCATGTGGCCCAGCCTGGGTGCTTTTGGGTGCCCCACGGGGTGAGGACGAGCCCTGTGGCATCCCGTAGCGTGACGAGCAGCCAGCTTTCAGCCCTAACGGGGGCACGGAGGGATGGGAGA